AAACACCCCTGCCCCCCCAGATCCCCCCAGTCCATCCCCTCGATGATCCCAAATCCCAACAGACCCCACAAATCCCCTTGAAAGTCCTTTGGACCACCCTCCCCCCGCTCCCAGGGTACCCCAAAACCTCCAGAAACTCCCCCCAAGCCCCCCCACCATGTCAGAGTCAGAGGAGAATGGAGAGGGTGAGTCTGGGGGGGCTCCTGGGTAAAAGTGAGGGTTTAAGGGGGGGTCCAGAGGGTTTTGGGGGTCCCTGGTCTATGGGATGGGGGTCATTGGGGGTCTCAGGGTGGGAAGGGTTTGCAGGGTGGGGGGTCCAGGAAGATTTCAAGGTCCAGGAAGGTTTGGGGGTGTCCAGGAAGGTTTGGGGGGCCCTTGAGGGTTTTCAGGAGTGGTTGGGGGTGTCCAGGAAGGTTGGGGGGGGACCCCCAGTGGGATGGAGCTGTTCTGGGGGGGTCACTCTGTGCCCAAGTGGTCTCAGGGTTGGACAGAGTTTGGGGGGGGGGTCCACGAGGGTTTGAGAGGGTCAAGGAGGAATTTTGGGGGGAGACAGGAGGAGTCTGGGGGCTGCAGAAGGACTCGGAGGGGTTTTGCTCTGTGGGATTGGGCTGTTGGGGAGTGGGCGGGGATGTCCCAGGGTTAGAGGCTCCTGGGGGGGTCCGGAAAGGTTTGGGGGTCCCTCCCTATCCTTGACCAGCCGTTCCCCTCCGCAGGGCCCCCCAAGGATCTGTCCCCCTTGGCCGAGGCCATGGGGCAGCCCCTGGGCTGGGGGTCCAGCGACGGCCCCGGGGGGGCTGCGGGCGGGGGGACCCCCCCGGGGCAGCGGCAGCGCCGCCCCCCCCACCCCAAGCACAAGGGCCAGGGGGGCACCGGGGGCGTCCATCGCTCCCCCCGCGCCCTCTTCTGCCTCCGCCTCAACAACCCCATCCGCCGGGCGGCCATCAGCATCGTGGAGTGGAAGTGAGTGGGGGGCTCGGGGGTCTGGGGCTGCCATCAGCATCGTGGAGTGGAAGTGAGTGGGGGGCTCGGGGGGTCTGCGGGCCTTGGGGACCCCCCACACCTGGTGCCCCCCCCTTCCCCCCAGGCCCTTCGACATCCTCATCCTCGCCACCATCTTTGCCAACTGCGTGGCCCTGGGGGTCTACATCCCCTTCCCCGAGGACGACTCCAACACCTCCAACCACAACCTGGTGGGCACCCCCAGACCCCCCCAGGAGCGGGGGGCGCCCCCCACCCTGGCACTGCCCTGGGGCCTTCACTGGGTGCTGGGAAAGGCGGGGGGGGGTCACCCCACCCTGGGCTGGGCAGGGCGTGGGGGTGGCACTTGGGGAGGTGCCGGAGGGTGGCACCGTGGGGTGGCAGGGGCTGTGGGGACGCGGGGGGGTCCCTGTGTCACACGTGTCCCCTGGCACACGCTGTGCCGCTGCCTTAATCCGCTTTGCCGCCGGGGCCGGGGGGGCGGGGGCGGCCTAATCCCGGCTGAGCCGCCCCAGTCACCCACAAAGGGGACACTGGGAGGGGGCTGAGGGGGCCCAAATGTCCCTTGTCACCCCGAGGGGGGAGACACTGGGGCAGGACGCCCCAAATGTCTCTATTCCTTGAGCCCCAAAGGAAGGGGTGGCGTCAGCGGTGTCCCCAAATGTCCCTGTCACTTGTCCGGTGGCAAAGGGAGGGTCAGGGGAGGTCCCAAAGTGTTCCTGCCCCTTGTACCCAGGGGAAGGGGACTCTGGGAGGTGTGAGGGGCTGAGGGGGTTCCCGAGTGTCCTTGTCCCCAAAAGAACGGGGATGCAAGGGGGTTCCCAAGGGTCCCTGTCTCTTGTCCCCAAAAAGGGACAAATATCCCTGTCTCATTCCTCAGGAGAATGGGATGCTGGGAGGGGGAACCCCAAATGTCCCCAGGGGATGCTGGGAGGGGTGGTGGGGTCAGTGAGGGTCCTCAAATGTCCCTGATCCCCAGGAAAGGGGACACTGTGAGCGATGAGGGGACGGAGGTGTCCTGAATGCCCTCCTGGAGAAGGGGTCAGCATGTCAGGGGAGGGGGGTCCCCAAAAGGGGAAGGGGACGCCGGGTGACCCCGTGCGCCCCTGCAGCAGGGGGTGCTGACCCCCCCTGCCCGCCATGCCCCCCCCAGGAGCAGGTGGAGTACGTGTTCCTCATCATCTTCACGGTGGAGACGTTCCTGAAGATCATCGCCTACGGGCTGGTGCTGCACCCCAGCGCCTACATCCGCAACGGCTGGAACCTGCTGGACTTCGTCATCGTCATCGTGGGGTCAGGGGCTCTCCGGGGACAGGGACAGCCGGGGGAGGGGGACACAGAGCCGTGTGACCCCGTGGTGTCCCCCCAGGCTGTTCAGCGTGATCCTGGAGCAGGTGTCCCACAAGCCGGGCGATGCCCACCACATGAGCGGCAAGCCGGGCGGCTTCGACGTCAAGGCCCTGCGCGCCTTCCGCGTGCTGCGCCCGCTGCGCCTCGTCTCCGGCGTCCCCAGTGAGACCCCGGGGACCGCGGGGGGGTTTGGGGTCCCCCTCGGCCTCCTGCCAACCCCCCCGTGCCTCCCCCAGGCCTCCACATCGTGCTCAACTCCATCATGAAGGCCATGGTGCCGCTGCTGCACATCGCGCTGCTCGTGCTCTTCGTCATCATCATCTACGCCATCATCGGCCTCGAGCTCTTCATCGGCCGCATGCACAAGACCTGCTTCTTCATCGGCTCTGGTAGGCACGGGGGGGTCACCTCGTGGGTCCCCCCCAGCCCTGGGACACCCCCAGAGTCCCTCAGTGCTCCCAGGTACCCCAGCCCGGGGACCGGGATCCCCCAGGGACGCCCCACACTGAGGCTCCCCTAAAACTCCTGAGACCTCCCCCCAGCACTGAGCACCCCCCAGGACACTCCAGCAGGATTTTGGGGGTCCTTAATACACTGAGACCCCCCTAAATTCCCTGAGCACCCCCCCCCAGGACACCCCAGCAGGGTTCTGAGCTCATTAATACACTGAGACCCCCCTAAATTCCCTGAGGACCCCCCCAGGACACCCTAGCAGTGTTCTTCTGGAGTTCCCAGCACACCCCTGACCCCTGCAACGTCAGGGGTGTGAGTAGGCAGGAGGGACAAGAGTGGGGACAGCAGCTGAGTTAGTGCCGGTGAAAGAGAAGCTTGGGGACAGGAATTTTCAGCAGGGACAGGAACTGTCAGCAGGGGCAGGGATGGTCAGCAGGGACAGGAATTTTCAGTAGGGAAGGAATTGTCAGCAGGGACAGGAATTTTCAGCAGGGGGAGGGATGGTCAGCGGGGACAGGAATGGTCAGCAGGGGCAGGAATTTTCAGCAGGGACAGGAATGGTCAGGAGGGACAGAAATTTTCAGCAGGGACAGGAATTTTCAGCAGGGACAGGAATTTTCAGTAGGGAAGGAATTGTCAGCAGGGACAGGAATCAGCAGGAACAGGAATTTTCAGCAGGAACAGGAATCGTCAGCAGGGACAGGAATTTTCAGCAAGGACAGGAATTTTCAGCAGGAACAGGAATTTTCAGCGGGGACAAGAGTTACCCACGGGACCAGGATCTCTCAGTGGGGACCGGAGCTGAGTGAGGGCAGTGACGAGGGGCGGCGCCCTGGCGGGAGCTGTCACCAGGGCTCGCTGTCGCCTGTCCCCAGACCTGGAGTCGGAGGATGACCCCTCTCCCTGCGCCTTCTCGGGGCACGGCCGCGCCTGCCTGCAGAACAACACCGAGTGCCGCGGCCGCTGGGAGGGGCCCAACGGCGGCATCACCAACTTCGACAACTTCTTCTTCGCCATGCTCACCGTGTTCCAGTGCATCACCATGGAGGGCTGGACCGACGTGCTCTACTGGGTGAGACCCCCGAGCCCCCCAGAATCCTCACACAAATCGCTGAGACCCCTCAGAATCCTCACAACCCCTCCCTGAGCCCCCCAAATCCAGTGCATCACCATGGAGGGCTGGACCGACGTGCTCTACTGGGTGAGACCCCTGAGCCCCCTCAAAATCCTCATAACCCTTCCCCAGCCCCCCAGAATTCTCACACAAATCACTGAGCCCCCCAAATCTACTGCATCCCCATGGAGGGCTGGAACAACGTGCTCTACTGGGTGAGACCCCTGAGCCCCCTCAAAATCCTCATAACCCTTCCCCAGCCCCCCAGAATTCTCACACAAATCATTGAGCCCCCCCCAAGTCCTCACACACATCCCTGATCCTCCCCAAAATCCTCAAAACCTCCCTGAGCCCCCCAGAATCCTCATACAAATCTCTGAGCCCCTCCAGGTCCTCACACCTACCCTGAGCCCCCCAAAAATCCTCACACTCATCACTGATCCCCCAAATCACCCCAGGCCAGGGCAGAACCCCAAACCTCTCTGCTGGGTGTCACTGGCCAGACCTGAGGAGGGATTTGGGGGGACCCCCTCACCCCAAATCTCCCCCCACAGATGCAGGACGCCATGGGCCACGAGCTGCCCTGGATTTACTTCGTCAGCCTCGTCATCTTCGGCTCCTTCTTCGTCCTCAACCTGGTGCTGGGGGTGCTGAGCGGGTGAGGAGCCAGCAGCGGGGCTGAAGGTCAGCAGTGGGGCACTGTCCTTGCTGTGTCTGGGGGTCACACCTGTGCCCCCTCCCCAGGGAATTCTCCAAGGAGAGAGAGAAGGCCAAGGCCCGCGGGGACTTCCAGAAGCTGCGGGAGAAGCAGCAGCTGGAGGAGGATCTGCGGGGCTACATGGACTGGATCACCCAGGCCGAGCTGGAGGGCGACGAGGAGGAGGGGGAGCATGAGAAGCACCGTGAGTGGGGCTGGGGGGCAGTTATGGGGGGAACCCCAAAATCCTGAGCCCCCCCAGAGCTCTGTGACCCTTCTTTCCCACAGGTCTGACCGCCGAGGACCTGATGGGGAAGCGGAAGCCGCGGCTGAAGTGGCTGCGCCACGCGAGTCACTCCACTGACACCCACGGTACCTCCGGGGCACCCCAAATCCCCCAGACCGGGGCACCCCAAATTCCCTGAACCCAGACATCCCAAATTCCCTGAATCCAGACATCCCAAATTCCCTGAACCCAGACATCTCATATCCCCTGGGCCTGGCACACTTAAATCCCCCAGATCTGGGTACCTCAAATTCCCTGAACTCAGGCACACCAAGTTCCCTGAACTCAGACCCGGACCCCCCAAATTCCCTTAATCTGGGCACCCCAGAATGCCCCAGACCTGGGCATCCCAAATTCTCTGAACCTAGATCTGGGCACACTCAAATTCCCTGGATCCAGACATCCCAAATTCCCTGGATCCAGACACCTCAAAGTCTCCGGACCTGGGCACACTCAGATGCCCTGAACCCAAGCACCCCAAATTCCCTGAATCCAAGCCCCCCAAATTCCCTGAACCTGAGCATCCCAAATTCCCTGAATCCAGACCTGGGAACACTGAATTTCCTGGACTGGGTACCCTCAAATTCCCTGACCCCAGACACCCCAAATTCTTCGCACCTGGGCACACCCAGATTCCTTAAACCCACACCTGGGCACCCTGAATTCCCTGGACAGGGCACCCCACATTCCCTGACCCCAGACCCCCCAAATGCCCCCGTGCCGGGCCCCCCAGTCCCCCCCCTGAGCCCCCCCAGAGCTCTGTGACCCTTCTTTCCCACAGGTCTGACCGCCGAGGACCTGATGGGGAAGCGGAAGCCGCGGCTGAAGTGGCTGCGCCACGCGAGTCACTCCACTGACACCCACGGTACCCCCGGGGCACCCCAAATCCCCCAGACCGGGGCACCCCAAATTCCCTGAACCCAGACATCCCAAATTCCCTGAACCCAGACATCCCAAATTCCCTGAACCCAGACATCCCAAATTCCCTGAACCCAGACATCCCAAATTCCCTGAACCCAGACATCCCAAATTCCCTGAACCCAGACATCCCAAATTCCCTGAACCCAGACATCTCATATCCCCTGGGCTGGCACACTTAAATCCCCCAGATCTGGGTACCTCAAATTCCCTGAACTCAGGCACACCAAGTTCCCTGAACTCAGACCCGGACCCCCCAAATTCCCTTAATCTGGGCACCCCAGAATGCCCCAGACCTGGGCATCCCAAATTCTCTGAACCTAGATCTGGGCACACTCAAATTCCCTGGATCCAGACATCCCAAATTCCCTGGATCCAGACACCTCAAATTCTCCGGACCTGGGCACACTCAGATGCCCTGAACCCAAGCACCCCAAATTCCCTGAACCCAAGCACCCCAAATTCCCTGAATCCAAGCCCCCCAAATTCCCTGAACCTGAGCATCCCAAATTCCCTGAATCCAGACCTGGGAACACTGAATTTCCTGGACTGGGTACCCTCAAATTCCCTGACCCCAGACACCCCAAATTCTTCGCACCTGGGCACACCCAGATTCCTTAAACCCACACCTGGGCACCCTGAATTCCCTGGACAGGGCACCCCACATTCCCTGACCCCAGACCCCCCAAATGCCCCCGTGCCGGGCACCCCAGTCCCCCCCGGGCTGACGTGTGCCCCCCACCCCAGCCAGCCTCCCGGGCAGCGAGACCACCTCGGTGAACACGGAGACCGTGGGGGAGGAGGAGGCGCCGCCGACCGCCTGTGACCGCTGCCTGTGAGCCCCGGCGGGACACGGGACCCCCGACCCCGCCGGGCCCCCGGATCCCCCCATGGCCCCAGGGACGCGCCCCGGATCCCTGTGACACCCCACAAATCCCTGGGACCCCAAACCCGACACCTACGGCGCCTCAGGACAATTTAGGATCCTCCCACAGCCCCCCCATGTCCCCCCAAAACCACTCATAGCTGGAGCGACCCCACCCCCAGATGCACCCCGAGACCCCAGAACTGACCCCCACAGCACCTCAAAGCCCTCTGAGACCCCTCCATACCCCACGGACCCCCCATACTCCGTCCAGGACCCCAAAACCGACCCCAGCACCCCTATGATCACCCCCAGGTACCCCAACCAGGGATCCTCTAAGCCCCCCACAACCAAATCTGACCCCAAAACCCCTGTAAAGCCCCCCCAGATATCCCCCCCAGGGCCGAGGGGCTCCTCCAGAATCCCCAAATTTTGGGGTAATTTCTGCTTTTCTCTCTCCAGGGGCAAAATTACAAAGACAAAATTCTGGTGAGTGGGGAGAAGAAGGGGGGTGTGGAAAAAATGGGGGGAGGGCCACAGTGGGGCCCCCCTAAAGCCTCCCAACCCATCCCACCTGACAGGGACTCTGTCACCCCCCCACCTCCCCTCTGTCCCCAAAATCCCACTGCTCCTACATCCCCCACCCCCTCTCATCACCCTGTACCCCGAATTCCTCCACGTTCCCCAAAACACCCCAAATTCCTCCCTACCCTTGTCCTTCCCTACCCCCAAATCTGCCCTGTCCCAAGGGAAATATGGGTTGGATATTAGGAAAATGGTTTTTATGGAAAAAATGGGTTTTTAAAAGCCTGGATGTGGCTGGTTTGGGTGAGGTTTTAGGGCTGGAGAGACTCAGAGATCTCGGAGGTCTGAGTCTGTGCGACCCCTCATTCCCCCCAAACCCAAACACCCCTCACCTCCTCCCGCGTGACGAGGGGGGTTTTTCTGTCACCCCCCGAACGCCCTCGCTGTCCCCCAGTCGCCGCCTGCGCCGCCTGAACCGCCTGTGGCGCCGGCGCTGCCGCGCGGCCGTGAAATCCGTGTCCTTCTACTGGACCGTGCTGCTGCTCGTGTTCCTCAACACGCTGACCATCGCCTCCGAGCACCACGGGCAGCCGCCCTGGCTCACCGAGACACAGGGTGCGACCCCCGGGACCCCCCGGGACCCCCTAGTACCCCCCGACACCTCCCAGTGCCTCTCTAACCCCTCGGTGCCTCCCAAACCCAGCGGTAGCCCCGACACCCCCAGGGCCCCCAAAACCCTCCGGTACCCCCCAGTGCCTCTCCAACCCCTCGGTACCCCCCCCAGGGAATATTTTCCCCCCTCAGCTGCCCGGGTCATCCTGTATTTCTGGGGATCTGTGCAGACAGAACGCGAGAGAAAAGTGCGGGATGGGCCAGAGGAGAAAAGAGGAGATCGGGAAGGGCTGGAGAGGGGCGGGGCGAGGGTGGGGTTATGTAAATAATCGGGCTGCGCATGCAAATGAGCCGCGGATGCCGCCAAAGGCATCATGGGAGCGAAAATCTGGGGCGATTTTCGGGATTTTCGGGGTCGGTGCGTACAAACCGCGGGAGGAGAGCGCGGGACGAGCTGGGGAAAAGCTCGCAGAGCGGCTCCGGAGCGGGGCGGGCGCGGCGCGGGGGTGTCCGTGAGGTACGGGCGGGCCGGGCGGGGCCGGGCGGGGCGCTCGGGGCAGCTCGGGTATCGCTTCTCGGCCTTTTGGCTAAGATCAAGTGTAGTATCTGTTCTTATCAGTTTAATATCTGATACGTCCTCGATGAGAGGACTTTATATTAAACGGATTTTTGGGCTCGGGAGTTGGACCCGGAGCTTGCTCCCTCCGCTCCGCGCATCGTCCCGGTATTGCAGTGCCTCCGGGAACGGTGCACCCCCACCGGGGACCTTTATCGGTGAAAAATAGAGTGAAAAACTATCGGGAAGTGGCTGAAATTGGAATTATATCGCGATATCAGCCCTGGTCCTGCCACCCGCTGACCCTCTGCAGCTCCCTCGTTCTGTGCTGCGCTCACCGTGCCGGTATTGCAGCGCCTCCAGGAATGCTGCACCCCCAACGGGGACCTTTACATGGAAAATAGAAAAATATACCGAAATTATCTGAAAATGGGTGAAATATTGATGATATCGCGATATGTCTAGGGCCCTCCAAACCTTCCGGTATCCCCCGACACCTCCCAGTGTCTCTCAAACCCCTCGGTACCCCCCAACCCCCCCCAGTGCCCCCCCGACATCCCCCAAACAACACCCCCCTGACATCCCCCGGTGCTCCCCGTCACCCCCAGAGCTCGGGGGGCCCGTCCCACCCTCCGCCGGTGGTGACTCGGGTGTGTCCCCCGGTGTCCCCCCCAGCGTACGCCAACAAGGCGCTGCTGTCGCTGTTCGCCGCCGAGATGGTGCTGAAGCTCTACGCGCTCGGCCCCTCGTGCTACTTCGCCAGCTTCTTCAACCGCTTCGACTGCTTCGTGGTGTGCGGCGGCGTGCTGGAGACCGCGCTGGTGGAGCGCGGCGCCATGGAGCCGCTCGGCATCTCCGTGCTGCGCTGCGTGCGCCTGCTGCGCGTCTTCAAGGTCACCCGGTGAGCGACAGCGCGGGGACACCGCAGTGACACACACCGGGGACACCCCGACACTGGGACACCCTGACACCGTGACACCCCGACACCGGGACACCCCGACACTGGGACACCCTGACACCGTGACACCCCGACAATGGGACACCGCAGTGACACACACCGGGGACACCCCGACACCGGGACACCCCGACACCGGGACACCCCAACACTGTGACACCCCGACAATGGGACACCGCAGTGACACACACCGGGGACACTCCGACACTGGGACACCCTGACACCGTGACACCCCGACACTGGGACACGCCAACAATGGGACACCGCAGTGACACACACCGGGGACACCCCGACACCGGGACACCCCGACACTGGGACACCCTGACACCGTGACACCCCGACAATGGGACACCGCAGTGACACACACCGGGGACACCCCGACACCGGGACACCCCGACACCGTGACACCCCAACAATGGGACATCGCAGTGCCGCGCACCAGGACACCCTGACACCGTGACACCCCGACACTGGGACACGCCAACAATGGGACACCGCAGTGCCATGCACCGGGGACACTCCGACACTAGGACACCCTGACACCATGACACTCCGACAATGGGACACTGCAGTGCCACGCACCGGGGACATTCCAACACTGGGACACCCCGACACTGGGACACCCCAACAATGGGACACCCCAACAATGGGACATCGCAGTGCTGCACACCGGGGACACTCCGACACTGGGACACCCCAACAATGGGACACTGCAGTGCCACACACCAGGACACCCCGACACTGGGACACCCCGACACTGGGACACCCTGACACTGGGACACCCCGACACCAGGACACCCGGACACTGTGACACCCCAACAATGGGACACCTGGACACTGGGACACCCCAAAAATGGGACACTGCAGTGCCACACACTGGAACACCTCAACACCGGGACACCTCAGTGCCACAGCACTGGGACACCCTGACACTGGGACACCCCAACACTAGAACAACCCAACAATGGGACACCTGGTGCCGTGCACCGGGACACCCCGACACCAGGACACCCCAGTGCCACAACACCAGGACACCCAAACACTGTGGTTCTCCAGTACCCCAACACCCCAATGTCCCAGCTCTGCAATGTCCCAAAGCCACAACACCCCGATGTCCCAAGGGAGCAATGCCCTAATGCTGTGATGTCCCAAACTGGTGACACCCCGATGCTGCAACACCCCCCACCACCAGGTGTTGGCTCTGCACTGGCCTCTTCCCAGTGCCCCCGGTAACCCCAGTCCCTGGGCCAGTTCCACCAGGTGTTGGCTCTGCACCATCCATCCAGCCCTTCCCAGTGCTCCCAGTGCCCCCGGTAACCCCAGTCCCTGGGCCAGTTCCACCAGGTGTTGGCTCTGCACCATCCATCCAGCCCTTCCCAGTGCTCCCAGTAACCCACATGTCCCGCAGGCACTGGGCATCACTGAGCAACCTGGTGGGGTCCCTGCTGAACTCCATGAAATCCATCGCCTCCCTGCTGCTGCTGCTCTTCCTCTTCATCATCATCTTCGCTCTCCTGGGCATGCAGCTCTTCGGGGGCCGCTTCAGCTTCGATGAGACCCAGACCAAGCGCAGCACCTTCGACACCTTTCCGCAGGCCCTGCTCACCGTGTTCCAGGTACCCCAAAACCTGGGGGGACCTGACATCGCTCAGGGGGACCCCAAAGCCTGCAGGGGTGTCAGACCCTGAAACCCCAGAGGAGGCTCTGAAAGTTGTGGGGTGGGGCACCCCAAAATGCACCGGGGACCCTAAAGCCTTGAGGAGACCCCAAAACCTGGGGGGAACCTGAAATCCCTGAAGGGTGACCCCAAAGCCTGCAGGGGTGTCAGACCCTGAAACCCCAGAGGAGGCTCTGAAAGTTGTGGGGTGGGGCACCCCAAAATGCACGGGGGACCCTAAAGCCATGAGGAGACCCCAAAACTATGGGGAACCTGAAATCCCTCAGGGAGACCCCAAAGCCTGCAGGGCATCCCTGAAACCCCAGAGGAAGCTCTGAAAGTTATGTGGGGGGCACCCCAAAATGCACCGGGGACCCTAAAGCCTTGAGGAGACCCCAAAACCTGGGGGGAACCTGAAATCCCTGAAGGGTGACCCCAAAGCCTGCAGGGGTGTCAGACCCTGAAACCCCAGAGGAGGCTCTGAAAGTTGTGGGGTGGGGCACCCCAAAATGCACGGGGGACCCTAAAGCCATGAGGAGACCCCAAAACTATGGGGAACCCCAGAATTTGTGTGAGACCTCCAAACCCAAGGGAGACCCTAAAAGCTGTGAGATATCCCAACACCTGTGAGGGACCTTGAATCTCGTGGGTCCCCTAAACCTCCGGGGAGACCCCAAAATCCATGAGCCCCCCTCAAACCATCCCATCACCACCCTGTAGCCTCTCTGGTGTGATGCTGCACACTCAGAACTGGGAGGCAGAGGTGTACTGGGAGCACTGGTGGGGGTGGCACTGAGGTTTGGGGACCCCCCACTCACCCAGATCCTGACGGGGGAGGATTGGAACGCGGTGATGTACGATGGGATCATGGCCTACGGTGGCCCCGTGTTCCCCGGGATGCTCGTCTGTGTCTACTTCATCATCCTCTTCATCTGCGGGAACTGTGCGTGGGCAGCCTGGGCTCTGGGGGCACGGGGGCTACTGGGAGCACTGGGGACACTGGGAGGGACCAAAGGGACTGGGAGGGACTGGGAGGGAGTGGGAGCACTGTGGGTACCGGGAACACTGGGAGCACTGGGAATATTGGGAGCACTGGGAGGCACAGGGAGCACTGGGGGCACTGGAAGCACTGGGAAGAACCAAGAGCACTGGGGGCACTGGGAGGGACTGGGAGCACAGGGAGCACTGGGAGGACTGGGAACATTGGGAGGCACAGGGAGCGTTGTGGGCACTGTGGACACTGGGAGCACCAGAGGGACTGAGGGCACTGGGAGGGACTGGGAGCACTGTGGGCACTGGGAGCACTGGGAGGAACCAAGAGCACTGGGGGCACTGGGAGGGACTGGGAGCACAGGGGGCACTGGGAGCATCAGAGGGACTGGGAGCACAGGGGGCACTGGGAGCACTGGGAGGAACCAAGAGCACTGGGAGCACTGGGAGGGACTGGGAGCACTGGGAGGGACTGGGAGCGGGGAGCTGGGGAACTGGGAATGGATCACAGGGTAACTGATGGAGCTGTGGTGGGACAGAGTGGGGCTTGGAATGATAAAAGGGGGGAGTGGGATCACTGGGAGGGCGTTGGGGGATACTGGGAGGATACTGGGAGGATACTGGGAGCACTGGTGAGCCCTTCTCTCCCCTCAGACATCCTCCTCAACGTCTTCTTGGCCATCGCCGTGGACAACCTGGCGGATGGTGACAACATCAACTCGGGGGGGGACAAAAAGTGAGCACGGACCCCTGGGGCCCTTTTGGGGGTGATGGGGGGGACACCCATCCCCTGGGCCCCCTGGGGGGTGCCCGACCCCCGGGACCCCCTGGCTGAGCCCCCCTTTTCCCCCAACCCAGGGACAAGGCTGGGGAGGCAGAGGCGGGGACGGAGAGCCAGGATGTGGCTGTGAAGGTGAGGGGGGTCCCGGGGGGGGGGGGGACCGTGACTGGGGGGTCTTGGGGGGGTCCCTCCCTCCCCCCAAAGTGTGCACAGCCCCTCACCCCTCCCCCTCCCCAGGTTGAGGGGGATCAGCCGCAGGAGGAAGAGGAGGAGGAGGAGGAGGTGGAGGAAGGTGAGTGTCACCTGCCCGGGCATCGGGGACATTGGGGGGTGGCAGTGCCCTGATGTGAGGGTCCGTGATGGGGGGGTGTGACAGTTCTTGAGCATCAGGGTCCTGGGGGAGGTGACAGTGACACGAGATGGGGTCCCTGGAGGGGGATGGCAATGCCTGGGGTGGGGGTTCCCAGAGGGGGGTGACATGGAGGGCCCCTGGGGGGTGACAGTCCTTGAACATGGGGGTCCCTGCAGGGGTGTGACAGTGCCTGGGGTGAGGTCCCTAGTGAGGTGACAGTGGCTGGACACAGGGTCCCTGGGGAGGTGACAGTGGCCAGACACGGGGACCCTGGGGAAGTGACAGTGCCTGGACACAGGGTCCCTGGGGAGGTGACAGTGTCTAGGGTGGGGACCCTGGAGAGGTGACAGTGCCTGGACACAGGGACCCCGGAGAGGTGACAGTGGCCAGACACGGGGGTCCCTGGAGGGGGGGATGTGACAATGGCTGGACATGGGGTCCCTTGCAGGTGACGAGGAGGCCGGGGGGGAGCGTGACAGCCTGGGGAGGGCCCGGCTGGAGTCCCTGGAGGAGGCCCCCAAGACCAAGGTGACCCCGATCCCCGAGGGCAGCGCCTTCTTCGTGCTGAGCAGCACCAACCCGTGAGTGGCACTGGGGCACTGGGAGCACTGGGAGCACTGGGATTGGAGATATAGACTGGGGGAACTGGGAGCACTGGGACTGGAGACACAAGCTGGAGGGACTGGGAGCACTTGGGGGACTGGGAGAACTGGGGGGACTGGGCGCACTGGGATTGGAGACACAAACTGGGGGGACTGGGAGCACTGGGATGAACTGGGAGTACTGGGGACTGGGAGCACTGGGAGTGGAGACACAGACTGGGGGGACTGGGAGCACTGGATGAACTGGGAGCACTGGGATGGACTGGTAGCACTGGAGACTGCGAGCACTGGGGGGACTGAGAGCACTGGGATTGGAGACAAATTGGGGGCGACTGGGAGCACTGGGACTGGAGACACAAATTGGGGGGACTGGGAGCACTGGGATGGATGGGGAGCACTGGGGGACTGGGAGCACTGGGACTGGAGACACAAACTGGGGGGCACTGGGAGCACTGGGGGGCACTGGGAGCACTGGGAGCTGACGTGTGCCTGGTGCAGGCTGCGGGTGAAGTGCCACGCCCTGATCAACCACCACATCTTCACCAACCTCATCCTCGTCTTCATCATCCTCAGCAGCATCTCCCTGGCCGCAGAGGACCCCGTGCGCGCCCACTCGCCCCGCAACCACGTGGGCTACTGGGCACACTGGGCAAACTGGGAGGGACTGGGGGCACTGGGGGTGTGGGAGAGTGCACCCCACATGGGATCTGCTCGCCCGGAGTTGGGGAGCAGAAATGGGGGGGGCTGGGAAAGGCAAGGAGGGGTTGAGGGGGAATCTGGGGGTGTTTGGGGGGTTCAGGAGGTCAGGGGTGTCGGGGGGGGTTGAGAGGGGTCGGGGTCACCCCGTTCCCCCCTCCCCACCCCACCCCCAGATCCTGGGCTACTTCGACTACGCCTTCACCTCCATCTTCACCGTGGAGATCCTGCTCAAGGTATGGGGGGTCTCTGGGGTTTGGGGTGGTCCCATGGTTTTTGGGGGTTCCCTGGGGTTTGGGAGGGGGCTCCCCAGGGTTTGAAGGGGTTCCTGGGGTTTTTGGGGGTTCCCCACGGTTTTGGGAAGGGGTTCCCAGTGTTTGGGGTGGAGGGTTCCCAGGGTTTGGGGGGTTCCCAGGGTTTGGGATGGGGGGGTTCCCGGGGTCTGGGAGATTTCCAGGGTTTTGGGAGGGGGTTCTCAGGGTTTGGGGTGCCCCCAGGGACAGGGGGTCCCCAGTTGAGCGCTCACGTTCCCCCACAGATGACGGTGTTCGGTGGATTCCTGCACAAAGGCTCCTTCCTCCGCAACTGGTTCAACCTCCTGGACGTGCTGGTGGTCGGCGTCTCCCTCATCTCCTTCGGCATGCAGTGAGCTGGGGGCAACTGGGAGCAACTGGGAGCACTGGGAGGGGCCAGGCTCAACACTGGGGGCACTGGGAGGGTACAAGGAACCTGACTGGGGGCTCTGGGGCCATTGCTGGGGACCCTGGAAAACAGTGAAGTGCTGCTGGAGGCACTGAGGGCGTTACTGGGGGCACAGGGGGTGTTACTGGGAGCACTGGGGGCGTTACTGGGAGCACTGGTGTGTCCCTTGGCAGCTCCAGCGCCATCTCGGTGGTGAAGATCCTGCGGGTCCTGCGCGTCCTGCGGCCTCTGCGAGCCATCAACCGCGCCAAGGGCCTCAAGGTGGGCAACTGGGAGTGCTGGGAGGCACTGGGAACACTGGGAGGGACTGGGAGCACTGGGATGCACTGGGAGGGACTGGGAGGGACTGGGAGCACTGGGATGCACTGGGATGCACTGGGAGCGACTGGGAGGGACTGGGAGCACTGGGATGCACTGGGAGGGACTGGGAGCACTGGGATGCACTGGGATGGACTGGGAGCACTGGGAGCACTGGGAATGACATCCTCCCAGCAATAGCCATGGCAGGCTGGGGCACTGTACTGGTGGGTCTGGGAGCACTGGGTGCTGCTGGTGGCACAGGGGTCCCCATTGTCTCTGTGTCCCTAATGTCCCAAGGTAGCAGTGTCACAGATGTCCCCAGCACACAGTGGCCTCAGTGCCTCACTTGTCCACATGTCCCCAGGATCTCTGTTGTCCCCATGCTGCAGTGACACTGCTGTCCCTGTCCCCATGCCCTGGTAACATTGTCCCTGTCCCTGTCCTCATGCCCCAGTGACACCCCTGTCCATGTCCTCCTGCCCTGGTGACATCACTGTCCCTGTCCCCATGCCCCAGTGACACTGTCCCTGTCCTCATGCCCCAGTGACACTGACATCCCTGTCCCCCTGCCCCAGTGACACCCCTGTCCCTGTAATTGTCCCCCTGCCCCGCTGACACTGCTGTCCCTGTCTCTGTCCCCCTGCCCCAGTGACACCGCTGTCCCTGTCTCTGTCCCCATGCCCTGGTGACACTGCTGTTGCTGTCCCCCTGCCTGGTGACATCCCTGTCCCTGTCCCCCTGCCTGGTGACATCCGTGTCCCTGTCCCCCTGCCCCGGTGACACCGCTGTCGCTGTCCCCCTGCCCCGGTGACACCGCTGTCCCTGTCCCCCTGCCCCAGTGACACCGCTGTCCCTGTCCCCCTGCCCTGGTGACACCCCTGTCCCTGTAATTGTCCCCCTGCCCCGCTGACACTGCTGTCCCTGTCTCTGTCCCCCTGCCCCAGTGACACCGCTGTCCCTGTCTCTGTCCCCATGCCCTGGTGACACTGCTGTTGCTGTCCCCCTGCCTGGTGACATCCCTGTCCCTGTCCCCCTGCCTGGTGACATCCGTGTCCCTGTCCCCCTGCCCCGGTGACACCGCTGTCGCTGTCCCCCTGCCCCGGTGACACCGCTGTCCCTGTCCCCGTCCCCAGCACGTGGTGCAGTGCGTGTTCGTGGCCATCCGCACCATCGGGAACATCATGATCGTCACCACGCTGCTGCAGTTCATGTTCGCCTGCATCGGGGTGCAGCTCTTCAAGGTGACCCCGTGGGTCCCCACCCCTCTGAGGGGTCCCCACCCCTCCTCTGAGGGGTCCCCACCCCCTCAGGGGGCTGAGGGTCCCCCTGACCCCCCGATCCCCCCAGGGCAAGTTCTACAGCTGCACTGACGAGGCCAAGCACACGCCAGGAGAGTGCAAGTGAGCGTCACCCCAAAAATGACCCCACACCCCAAACTGAGCCCTGCGCCTCAAATCCTGGCCCTGAGCCACCCCAACGGTGTCCCCATGGTGTCCCACCCCCCTGCTGGTGGCAGTGTCCTGTTGGGGTCTCACCATTGCTGTCCCTGTGACCCTGTGCTGTCCCTGTGTCCCCATGGGGTTCTGCTATTGCTGTTCTTGTGGTGTCCCTGTGGCCCCCCAGTCAGTGGAAGTGTCCAGGGGGTGTCTCACCCTCGCTGTCCCCGTGCCCCCATCCCAGGGGGACATTCCTGGTGTACAAGGACGGGGATGTGTCCCACCCCTCAGTGGTGGCAGTGTCCAGGGGGTGTCTCACCCTCGCTGTCCCCGTGCCCCCATCCCAGGGGGACATTCCTGGTGTACAAGGATGGGGACGTCCAGGGGGTCTCAGTGGTGGCAGTGTCCAGGGGGTGTCTCACCCTCGCTGTCCCCGTGCCCCCATCCCAGGGGGACATTCCTGGTGTACAAGGACGGGGACGTGTCCCACCCGTCGGTGCGGGAGCGCCTCTGGCTCAACAGTGACTTCAACTTCGACAATGTCCTGGCGGGGATGATGGCCCTGTTCACCGTGTCCACCTTTGAGGGGTGGCCAGCGTGAGTCCCTGGGGTGGGCACAGGGACACTGCCACCCCCGCGGGGACACCCCCAGCACCGTGTCCCCCCCAGGCTGCTGTACAAGGCCATCGACGCCAACGCCGAGAACCAGGGGCCCATCTACAACTACCGTGTGGAGATCTCCATCTTCTTCATCGTCTACATCATCGTCATCGCCTTCTTCATGATGAACATCTTCGTGGGCTTCGTCATCATCACCTTCCGCGCGCAGGGCGAGAGCGAGTACCGCAACTGCGAGCTCGACAAGAACCAGGTGTGGGGACACGCTGGCCGGGCCCTGCCCTGTCCCCATGGCCCTGCCGTGTCCCCTTGGCTCTGCCATGTCCCCATAACCCTGTGGTGTCCCCATAACACTGTGGTGTCCCCATGCTGTCCCTGCACTGTCCCCACGCTGTCCCCACACCGTCCCCTGTCCCCGCAGCGGCAGTGTGTGGGGTGGAGGTGGGGTGGCAGTGGGGTGGCCATGTCCCCACGCTGTCCCCACACCGTCCCCTGTCCCCGCAGCGGCAGTGGGTAGGGTGGCAGCGGGGTGGCCATGTCCCCACGTTGTCCCCACACTGTCCCCTGTCCCTGCAGCAGCAGTGTGTGGTACGGCAGTGGGGTGGCCATGTCCCCACGCTGTCCCTGCACTGTCCCCACACTGTCCCCTGTCCCTGCAGCAGCAGTGTGTGGGGTGGCAGTGGGGTGGCCGTGTCCCCACACTGTCCCTGCACTGGCCCCACGCTGTCCCCTGTCCCTGCAGCGGCAGTGTGTGGGGTGGAGGTGGGACGGCAGCAGGGTGGCCATGTCCCCACGCTGTCCCCACGCTGTCCCCTGTCCCCGCAGCGGCAGTGTGTGGAGTACGCGCTGAAGGCACAGCCGCTGCGCCGTTACATCCCCAAGAACCGCACCCAGTACCGCGTGTGGGCCATGGTCAACTCCACCGCCTTCGAGTACATCATGTTCGTCCTCATCCTGCTCAACACCATCGCCCTGGCCGTGCAGGTGGGGGGGACACCTGGGGGGACAGGGGGGTCACAGAGGGACAGTGCCAGACCCCCGTGTCCCCCCCCAGCACTATGAGCAGTCCAAGCCCTTCAACTACGTGATGGACCTGCTCAACATGGTGTTCACGGGGCTCTTCACCGTGGAGATGGTGCTCAAGATCATCGCCTTCAAACCCCGGGTACGCCGCAGGGGTGTCACGGGACGGGGGTCACACAAGGGGTGACACAAGGGGGGTCATAGACAGGGGGTCCTCACCACCTCCCTCCCACCCCAGCATTACTTCTGCGATGCCTGGAACACCTTTGATGCCCTCATCGTGGTGGGCAGCGTGGTGGACATCGCCGTCACCGAGGTCAACGTGAGTCGCCCTCCTTGTCCCCTGGCTCAGGGGGAGTTGATGTTTTGGGGTGCTCCTGGATGTCTGGGTCTCTCCCTGGTCCATGTCCTCATGGCCATCTGTCTGTCTTCATCATCTCCATCATTTCCATCTCCATCATCTTCATCCATCTCCATCGTCCCATCTGCCTGTCACAGAACGGGGGGCACGTTGGTGAGGTACGGGGAGGTGTCCCCAGCTGGGGGTTTTCGGGGGGGGCTGTGCAGGTGTTTTGGGGTGCCCCTGACCCCCCTCCCTGCAGAGCTCAGAGGACAGTTCCCGCATCTCCATCACCTTCTTCCGGCTCTTCCGCGTGATGCGGTTGGTGAAGCTGCTCTCCAAGGGTGAGGGCATCCGCACCCTGCTCTGGACCTTCGTCAAGTCCTTCCAGGTGGGATGGGGGGGACGTGGTGGGGGACAAAGAGGAGAGGGGACATGGAGGGGGGACCCCCAGCACCCCCTCACCCCCGCTCTGTCCCTAGGCCCTGCCCTACGTCGCTCTGCTCATCGCCATGATCTTCTTCATCTATGCCGTCATCGGGATGCAGGTGAGGGGCCTGGGGGAGGTGAGGGGTCCCGGGGGGAGGTGAGGGATATGGGGGGTGTGAGGGGCGTGGGGGGGGGTGTCCTGTAAGCCCCCCGCCCCCTCTGTCCCCCCCAGACCTTCGGGAAGGTGGCGCTGCAGGACGGGACCCAGATCAACCGCAACAACAATTTCCAGACCTTCCCCCAGGCCGTGCTGCTGCTCTTCAGGTGGGGACAGGGGCCTGGGGGGTTCTGGGGGGTCTGCAGGGGCTCGGGGGGCTCTGGGAGGCCAGGGGGCTCTGGGCTTCTCATGGGACTTTGGAGCTTCCTCTCAATGAATCATGAAGGGGGTTACAAATCTGCCCCAGGGGTACAGGTGTGCAGTGGGGGGGACACAGGTGTGCCCAGGGGTACAGGTGTGTCCCGTGGGGTACAGGTGTGTCACAGGGGCACATGTGTCCTGTGGGGGGGTACAGGTGTGCCCCAGGGGTACAGGTGTGCAGTGGGGAGGACACAGGTGTGCCACAGGGGTACAGGTGTGCCCCAGGGGTACAGGTGTGCCATGGGGACACAGGTGTGCCCCAGGGGTACAGGTGTGCCATGGGGACACAGGTGTGTCACAGGGGTACAGGTGTGCCATGGGTATACAGGTGTGTCCCGTGGGGTACAGGTGTGCCATGGAGATACAGGTATGCCCAGGGTACAGGTGTGCAGTGTGAGGGACACAGGTGTGCCCAGGGGTACAGGTGTGTCCCGTGGGCTGCAGGTGTGCCATGGGGGTATAGATGTGTCATAAGGGTACAGGTGTGTCCTGGGGGGTGCAGGTGTGCACTGGGGGGGACAAAGGTGTGCCCAAGGGGTACAGGTTTGCCATGGGGATACAGGTGTGTCACAGGGGTACAGGTTTGCCATGGGGGTACAGGTGTGTCACAGGGGTACAGGTTTGCCATGGGGATACAGGTGTGCCTTGGGGGTACAGGTGTGTCCCGTGGGCTGCAGGTGTGCCTTGGGGGTACAGTCCCGTGGGCTGCAGACAGGTGGGCCACGGCGGGACAGGTGTGCCATGGGGGTACAGGTGTGCCTTGGGGGTACAGGTGTGCTTTGGGGGTAGAGGTGTGTCACAGGGGTACAGGTGTGCCCCACAGGGGTACAGGTGTGCCCCAGGGGTACAGGTGTGTCACAGGGGTACAGGTGTGCCCCAGGGGTACAGGTGTGTCACAGGGGTACAGGTGTGCCTTGGGGGTACAGGTGTGCCCCGGGGGTACAGGTGTGCCACGGCGGTACAGGTGTGCCTTGGGGGTACAGGTGTGCCTTGGGGGTAGAGGTGTGTCACAGGGGTACAGGTGTGTCCCGTGGGCTGCAGGTGTGCCACGGGGGAGGCGTGGCAGGAGATCATGCTGGCCAGCCTGCCGGGCAAGCGCTGCGACCCCGAGTCGGACGCGGGCCCGGGGGAGGAGTTCACCTGCGGCAGCAACTTCGCCATCGCCTACTTCATCAGCTTCTTCATGCTCTGCGCCTTCCTGGTGAGACACGGGGCCTGCCCCACGGCCCCAGCACTGCCCCACACCCCTCAGGACCCCTATGGACATCCTGAAGCCCCCCTTGACGCCCCCAGATCATCAACCTGTTCGTGGCTGTGATCATGGACAACTTTGATTACCTGACACGCGACTGGTCCATCCTGGGCCCGCACCACCTGGACGAGTTCAAGCGCGTGTGGTCCGAGTACGACCCCGCAGCCAAGTGTGTAATTGTCCCCTTGTCCCCATCCGGGGGGGTCAGGTGTCCGGACCACCCGTGACCTCCTGTCCCCCGTCCCCAGGGGCCGCATCAAACACCTGGACGTGGTGACGCTGCTGCGCCGGATCCAGCCCCCACTGGGCTTTGGGAAGCTCTGCCCACACCGCGTGGCCTGCAAGGTCTGGGGGGGTTCCTGGGGGGATTTGGGGTGCTCCTGGGGGGAGCCACCCAGATTCACCCCCCTCTTGTCCCCTCCCAGCGCCTGGTGGCCATGAACATGCCCCTCAACTCGGACGGGACCGTCACCTTCAACGCGACGCTCTTCGCTCTGGTCCGCACCTCCCTCAAGATCAAGACGGAAGGTGGGGAGCTGGGAGGGTGTGGAGGGGGCAGGGGACAGCAGGGGGTGACAGTCATGGCTGTGTGTCCCTGTGTGTCCCCTGCAGGGAACCTGGATGTGGCCAACAAGGAGCTTCGGGCTGTGGTGAAGAAGATCTGGAAGAGGACGAAGCCGAAGCTGCTGGACGAGGTCATCCCCCCACCCGAGGGTGCGTGAGGGCCGTGTCCCCTCCCTGTCCCCTCAGCCCCCCGGCTGTCCCCTGACCCTCCGTGTCCCCCAGAGGAGGAGGTCACCGTCGGGAAGTTCTACGCCACTTTCCTGATCCAGGACTATTTCCGCAAGTTCCGGCGGCGGAAGGAGCGGGGGATGCTGGGCGCTAACGCAGGCCCCAGCAACGAGTGTGCGCTGCAGGTGCGACACCCCCGGGCGGGGCTGGGGGTCCCAGGTGTCACCAGGTGACCCCCCTGACCCTCCTGTGTCCCCCCAGGCAGGGCTGCAGACACTGCAGGCTCTGGGCCCTGAGATGCGCCGGGCACTGAGTGACCTGGAGGGGGACGAGGGCGGGGACGCCCCTTCGGAGGAGCCGCTCACCTACGCAGTGAGCCACGCCCACCACACCTTTCCTTTGGCCACGCCCACCGACAGCACATTTATTTGCCACGCCCACCGACCACGCCCACCGGCCTCACCTGTGCCACCCTGCCCATGCCCACAGGCCACACCTGCCCCCAAAGCCACACCAAATGGCCACACCTATTCTGTGACCACTCCCACCGGCCACACCTGTCCAAAATCCATACCAAATGACCTGTCCCATGGCCACGCCCACCGGCCACACCTGTCCAAAATCCACACCGAATGTCCACACCTGTGCCGCGGCCGCGCCCACCGACCCGCGTCTCTCCGCAGGCCCCCGAGACGCTCTACGGCTCCGCCCCCGGCTCCCCCCTGCTCTCGGAGCCGCCCCCCGTCCCCAGCCCCGCGCCCACCGAACGGGAGGACCCCGCGCCCCCCTCCCACGGGGGAGCCCCCCGCCCTGGCGGCAGGTACGGGGGGCTGGGGACACCCCGACACGGGGCGGGGGTTCCCGGGGAGGACGGGGGGTGCCCATGGCCCTCTGCGCAGGCGGCGCTCCGACGCGGGGGACCAGGAGGAGGAAGCCCCCGCCGAGGATGCGGAGGAGCCGGGAGGGGAGCCGGGGGATGTCAGCCACGACGAGGACCTGGAGAGCTCGGCACCGGCCCGGCGCCGCTGGGTCGGGGACAGGTACCGCGACCCCCGAGCCTCTGGGGCAGAACCGCATCTAGAGAGGTCCCTGCAGCTGGGGAGGGGGGTCCCGTCAGCCCTGACGCTGTCCCCGTGCCAAGCTGCCGGGACCCCCGAAAGGCGAGGGGTGTGTGTAACTGGGGAGGGGGCACTGGAGGGATCTGTCCCGGGAGGGGGTGATGCTGTCGCCCCCTGACCCCACTGGATCACCCCGCGCTGGGAGGTGTCCCAGGGGATGTTCCCAGCCCGGACTGACCCCCTTGTTCCCCGCAGGGCACCGGGACCCCCGCGCTGGGCGGCGGAGCTGCCCCGGGGGGGGTCGCTGCCGCTGCCCCCCCGGCACTTCGCGTTCGGCAGCGGCGCTCGCGAGGGGCAGCAGCTGAAACGGCGCCGGCTCCTGCCCCCCACCCCCGCGGGTACGGCGGGGCCGGGAAAGGGGGCCGGGGGGCAAAGGAGGGGCCGGGGCCTCCAGTGAGACCCTCCGTGATCGCACCCGGCAGCGCTGACCGAGTTCCCCCGTAGCCCGGGACGGTTCCACGGTAGCCCCGGAAGGTCCCTGGGGCTGATGGCGAGGAAAGATGACCCTCCGTGGTGCCCCGATGGGGAGGGGGGTGTCCGCAGTACCCCAGGAAGGATCCCTGATAGGTGGGGTTGACCCCTCCCCGTGCCCCCGGGTGCCCCTAGATCGGGGGGGGACTCTGCCCGCTGCCCTCCGATAGCCCAGAGGGCTCCTGTCCGGTGCCCCTGAGGGTCCCTGGCTGAGAGGGTGACTCTGCCCGGTGCCCCTGAGGGTCCCTGGCTGAGAGGGTGACTCTGCCCGGTGCCCCTGAGGGTCCCTGGCTGAGGGGGTGACTCTGCCCATGCCCCCCAGGCCGGAAGCCCTCCTTCACCATCCAGTGCCTGCGGCGCCAGGGTAGCTGCGAGGACGAGCCCATCCCGGGCACTTACAACCCCTCGGGCCCGCCCGGCCCTGCCCGGCCGCAGGTACTGCTGGAGGTGGGACAGACAGACGGGGAGGGGGGACACTCTGACAGTGTCACCCCCGCACTGACCCCATCCCGCCCCCAGGGCTACGGCAGCTCCGAGACCTGGCGCCTGGGGGGCTCCTCGCAGGCCTGGGCGGCCCCGGCCCGCGGGCACGTTCTGTACGCGCCGCTCATCCTGGTGGAGGGGGCTCCGGCGGCGGGGGCGGGCGGCAGCCTGCCGCCCCTCAACCGCTGGTTCCCCCCCGCGCCGCTGCGCCTGCGGCCCTGCGGGCCCCACGATGCCCTGGCCCGAGGCTCGGCTGACAGCCTGGTGGAGGCCGTGAGTTGGGGGGGGGGGGCGTGGGCAGCCTGGTGGAAGTAGCGAGGGGGGGACAGCCCGTGGCTTGCCCAACAGCCTGGTGGAGGAAGTGAGGAAGCAGAGGGACATGGGGGGACACAGGCACGCCTCCGATGCCGGTGCCAGCGCCTCCCCCTCGCCCCCCCAACCCAGGTGCTGATCTCGGAGGGGCTGGGGCTGTTCGCCCGCGACCCCAAGTTCGTGGCGGTGGCCAAGCGCGAGATCGCGGACGCGTGCGACATGACGATGGACGAGATGGAGAGCGCGGCCACAGACCTGCTGACCCGGCGCCGCGCTCCGCCCGCGCCCACGCCCGCCGTCTACAGCGACGAGGAACCGCTGCGGCCGCCGGCGGAGGAGGAGCTGGCGGACGAGATGGGCTGGGCCGGCGGGGTCTAGAACCCGGCACCGCGGAGCCGGACGGGCTGGCTCTAGAACCCGGCACCGCGGGTGCGAGCAGGCCGGCTCTAGAACCCGCCACAACGGGCCGGGACGGCCTGGATCTAGAACCCGGCACCGCGAATGTGAGCAGGCTGGCTCTAGAACCAGGGGACGTGAGGCCGGCTCTAGAACATGGCATCGCAATGCCGGGCGGGCCGGCTCTAGAACCCGGCTCTAGAACCTGGCACCGACACCGGACCTTGTGGGGGCAATGTTACCTCAGGAGAAAAAGGGATTTTTTTATCAAAAAGTTTCGGTTTTTTTCCCCTGAAAAAGGTGGGTTTTTTCCCTCAGGAAAAGGGGTATTTGCCTCAGGGATGGGGTTTTTTTCCTGAAAAAGGTGGGTTTTTCCCTCAGGAAAAGGGGTATTTGCCTCAGGGATGGTTTTTTTCCCTGAAAAAGGTGGGATATTTCCCTCAGGAAAAGGGGTATTTGCCTCAAAAAAAGGAAGTTTTTACTCAAAACCAAGAAGTGTGTTTTCCTTCAAAATAACCAAACCGTGTTTTCCTAAGGGAAAGGAAGGGTTCCTCAAAAAAAGAAGGGATTTACCTGAAAAAATGATTTTTTTTTTTCTTCTGGAACAGAGATATGCGTTGGGGGGTGGGGGGAGTATAATCCAAAAATTAATTTTTTCCTCAGAAAAAGGGTTATTACCTCAAAAAGTTTTTCCTCAAGAAACCCACTCAAAACCACACATAACCCCAAACCAATTACTTTTTCCTCAAAAAGGGCATTTTTTTTCAAAAAAAGGAGGGATTTTGCCTCAATTTAGAAAAACAAGGGAGTTACATTTAAAAAAAAAAAAGGATTTAAAAAGAAAGGAGGGGTTTACCTCAGGGAAAAAAAAAAAAGTGTTCTCCTCTAGAAAAAGGCTATTTGCCTTAAATTTGCTGTTTAGAGGAGGATTTTCCTCAGGAAAATGGATGTTTACCTCAAAAAAATTAGGAGTTTTATCTCAGGAAAAGAGACATTTACCTCCTGGGGATGGTGAATTGTTCTCAAAAAGGAGTATTCCCTCTTGAAAAGGGATAATTACCTAAAAAAAAAAAATCCTTTAAAAAAAGTTTTGCCTAAAAAAGAAGTTTTCTATTCCAAGAAAAGGAGGTGTTTTCCCCTCAAAAAAGGAGTTTTGCCTCAGGAAAAGCGAGATTTACACCCAAAAAGGAGGAACTGCCAAAAAGAAAAAAAAAAAAAAAAAAAAAAAAGAGGGGGATTTTTACATCAGGAGAAAGTATTTTGTCACCTCAGAAAACGTAAATGTTACATTACAAAGGAAGCGTTTGCTTCCCTGAGGAAAGAGGAATTTTCACCTCAGAAATGGGGATTTTTACCTCAAAAAGGAGGATTTTTATCTCCAAAAAAGCAGAATTTACCTCAAGCAAGGGAGTTCTACTGCAAATAGAGGAATATTAACACAGAGGATTTTACCTCACACAGTGGAGTTTTAAATCAGAAAAAAGTATTTTTTAATCTAAGAAAAAGTGACCTTTACCTCACAAGAGGGGTCTTAGCTGAGAGAGGGGGATTTTACCTCAGGAAAGGTAAATTTTACCTCAGAGACAAAGGTTTTATCTGAAGAAAGGTGAATGTTTTACTTCAGAAAGAGTAAAATTTACCCCATGAAACAGGGTTTAACTGGAAGAAAAAGCACTTTTCACCTCAAGAGGGGAATTTTACCTCAGAAAAGGGGTTTTTACCCAAGGAAAGGTAAATTTTGCCTCAGAGAAAAGGGTTTTACCTCAGGAAATAACATTTCACACCCCAGAAAGGGGGATTTTACCTCAGGGAAGGGGTGTTTTATATCACAAAAGTGGATTTTCCCTCAGAAAAAAATAAACTTTACCTCACAGAAGAGGGTTTTACCTTAGAAAAAAGCATTTCTCCCTTCAGGAAGGGGGGACTTTACCTCATAAAATGGAAACCTTACCTCACTCACTGAAGAGGGTTTTACCTCATGAAAGTGTTCTTCCCTTCAGGAAGGGGATTTTTATCTCAGGAAATGTGAATTCTACCTCATAAATGAGGGGTTTACCTCAAGAAAGGGACACGTTTCACCTCATGGAAGACAAGTTTTACCACAGAAAAGAACTTTTCACCTCGGGGCGGTAGATTTTGCCTCAGAAATGTAAATTTTAACTCACTTAAAGAGGGTTTTACCTCATGAAAAAGCATTGTTCTCTTCATCAAAGGGGCATTTTACCTCAGAAAAGTGGGTTTTTACCTTAGAAAGGTAAATTTTACCTCACAGAATTGGGTTTTATCTCATGAAACAACATGTCACATCTTAGAACGGGAAATTTTACGTCCGGAAAGGGGTGTTTTATCTAAGGGGGAAGGTTTTACCTTCAGACAAGTGGGTTTTAACCTCAGGAGAGGTACATTTTACCTCACGGAAGCACATTTTTCATCTCTCGGAGGGGGTTTTTCCCTCAGGACGAGGACTTGCTCCGGAGCTCCCAGAGGAGGTTCCCGCGCCCGCCCCTCGCCCCGCCCCTCGCGTGCGTCCATTGGTGGAGCCGGCGGCCAATGGGGAGGCGGCACCGCGAGCGCCCCCACGAGGCTGCGCGGGGATTTGGGGGGGACGAACCCCCAAAATCCCGAACAGTCAAAATCCCAAACCCTCAAAATACCGAGCCTCCAAAAATCCTGAACCCCCCAAAACCCGAACCCCCAAAATCCCGAACAGCCAAAATCCCAAACCCTCAAAATACCGAGCCTCCAAAAATCCTGAACCCCCCAAAACCCGAACCCCCAAAATCCCGAACCCCCAAAACCACAAAGTCCCCAAAACCCTGAAAACCCGAAACTCTGAGCCCTCAAAATCCTGAACACCTCAAAATATTGAACCCCCCAAATCCCTGAACCCCCCAAAACCCGAACCCCCAAAACCACAAATTCCCCAAATCCTGAAAACCCGAAACTCTGAGCCCCCAAAATCCTGAACACCTCAAAATACTGAACCCCCCAAATCCCTGAACCCCCCAAAATCCCAAACCCCAAAACTATCAATTCTCAAAATCCTCAACCCCCAAACCCCTGAATCCCCCAAAACCCAAACCCCCAAAGTCCTGAACCCCCCAAAATCCCGAACCCTCAAAACCACAAAGTCCCCAAAACCCTGAAAACCCGAAACTTTGAACCCTCAAAATACCGAACCCCCCAAATCCCTGAACTCCCCAAAATCCCAAACCCCAAAACTATCAATTCTCAAAATCCTCAACCCCCAAAAGCCCTGAACTCCCCAAAACCTGAACCCCCAAACTCTGAAATCCCCAAAAACTCTGAACCCCGTAAAATCCTGAACCCTCAAAATCCCGAACCCCCAAAACCACAAACTGTCCAAAACCTTGAATCCCCCGAAACACTGAACCCCCAAAATCCCAAACCCCCAAAATCCTGAGCCCCCAAAACCCAAACGCCCAAAATCCCAAACCCCCAAAACCTGAACCCCCTAAACCTGAACCCCCCAAACCCCTGAACCCTCCCAAATCATGAACCCCCAAAATCCCAAAACTCCAAAATCCTGAGCCCCAAAAACCCTGAAGCCCCCAAAATCCCAATCTCTGAAATTCCGACCACCTCAAAATCCTGAACCCCCAAAACCTGAATCCCCAAAATTCCGAACCCCCCAAAATCAAAAATCCCGAGTCCCCCAAAATCCCAAATCCCCAAAACCACAAACCCTCCAAAACCTTGAATCCCCCAAAATACTGAACACCCCCAAAAACCTCAACCCCCAAAACCCCTGAACTCCCCCAATCATGAACCCCCAAAATTCTGAAACCCTCAAAACCCCTGAACCCCCAAAGTCCTGGACCCCAAAAACCTGAACGCCCCAAAACCCTGAACTCTCCAATAACTGGACCCCAATAATCTGAACCCCCAAAATCCTAAACCCCCTGAAATCCTGAACCCCTAAAATCTCAATCCCCCAAAATCCTGAGTGCCCCAAAAACTCTGAATCCCCTGAAATCCTGAACCCCCAAAATCCTGAACCCCCAAACCACCTGAACCCCCCAAATCCTAAACCCCAAAATTTGGGGGGGGGGGCTCGGGGTGGCCCCCCCCAGTCCGTCCCCACCGTGTCAGCCGCGTCCGTCCGAGCTGGGGGCTCCACGTCACGAGTCCTGGGGGGCACGGGGGGGTCAGCACTAAAATCAAACCCCTAAAATGCCTAAAGCCACTGCACCCCAAAAGCAACCCCACCGATCCCCGGATGGGGGAACCCCACAAAGGCTCTCCTGGGCACCCCAGAACCTCCCGCGCTGCTCCGGGACTGCTCTGACCCCGTGACTGCCCAGTGAACACAGTCTGTACCCCAAAACTCCCTCATTAACCCTCTCTGTGCCCCATTAACCCCCTCTGGGCCCCAAAACTCCCCCATTTTCCCCCAAAATTTCTCATTTTTCCCCCCAAATTTTTCTCTTTTCCCAAATATTTTCCCCAAATTTTCCCATTTTTTCCCAAATTTTCTCATTTTCCCCCAAAATTCCCTCTGCGACCCATTAACCCCTTGTATACCCCACTACCCCCTCACCACCCTGCCCTGCGCTCACCCCTGGGGTCTGGGGGCCGGGTGTGGGGCTGTCCCGGGGGTCCCCCCCCTCGGGTCCCCGACTCCTCTTTGGCTCCAGCTCCTCCTTGGCCAGGGAGGGGAGGTGCCCCCGCTCCGCCCGGCGCTTCCGGCGCCTCTCGGGGTCACGGCCGCGGGCTCGAGCCCCCCGACGCTCCGCCTGCTCCAGCTGCCCAGGGGGGACACCCCCGTCAGACACCCCAAAACTGGGAGTGGAGGGGCTGGGCTGTCAGGGCAGGGCGGGTTTGGGGTGCCCAGGGTGGTGGGGAGGGGGTAAGGAAGGGCAATGGGGGGCGGGGGGGGAGTTTTGGAGACCCCCACCATGAGGAAGAGGGCACGAGGAGCTGTTTTTGGGGTCTCTGAGAGAATTTGAGAGGGTCCATAAAAGCTTTAAGAGATTATTTGGGGACAGTTCTGGGGTGCCCAGAAGGGGTTGGGGCAGTTCTGGGGTGCCCAGAAGGGGTTGGGGCAGTTTTGGGGTTCAAGTGAGATTATTTGGGGGCAGTTCTGAGGTGCCCAGAAGGGGTTGGGGCAGTTTTGGGGCTCAAGGGAAACACTTTGGGGCAGTTTTGGGGTGCTCAGAAGGGGTTTGGGCAGTTTTGGGGCTCAAGGGAAACACTTTGGGGCAGTTTTGGGGTGCCCAGAAGGGGCTGGGGCATTTCTGGGCTCCTCAGGGTGTTTGGGGCAAGTTTTGGAGTCCTGGGGACAATCTGGGGTCCCCTAGGAGACTGTGGGGCAAGTTTGAGGCTCCTGGAGCTCCGGGGTGGTTTGGGGGGGCCCTGAGGAGGGTTTGGGGTAGTTTAGGGGGTTCTGTGCCCTGAGGGAGGGTTTGGGGGTCTCTGGGGCAGTTTTGTGTGTCCCCCAAGGAGCTCTGGGTCCCCAGGCACTTTTGGGGGTGTGTTCTGTACTTGAGGGAGGTTTGGGGGTTTGTTCTGTGCCCCCGGGGAGGTTTTGGGGTGCGTTCTGTCCCCCAGGAAGCTCTGGGGTCCTGGGGCAGTTTTTGGGGGTGAGTTCTGTCCCCCAGGCAGTTTTGGGGATGCGTTCTGTCCCCCAGGGTGCTCTGGGGTCCCGGGGCAGTTTTTGGGGGGGGGGGTGTTCTGTACCCCGGGCAGTTTTGGGGTGTGTTCTGTCCCCCAGGCAGTTCTGGGGGTGTGTTCTGTACCCTAGGCAGTTTTGGGCGTTTGTTCTGTACCCCGGGCAGTTTTGGGGGGGTGTTCTGTACCCCGGGCAGTTTTGGGGGTGTGTTCTGTCCCCCAGGCAGTTTTGGGGGTGTGTTCTGTACCCTAGGCATTTTTGGGGGGGTGTTCTGTAGCCCAGGCAGTTTTGGGGTGTGTTCTGTCCCCCAAGGCTCTCTGGGATCCCAGGGCAGTTTTGGGGGTTTGTTCTGTATCCCGGGCAGTTTTGGGGGTTTGTTCTGTACCCCAGGCAGTTTATGGGGGGTGTTCTGTACCCCAGGGAGGTTTGGGGGGGTGTTCTGTACCCCAGGCAGTTTTGGGGGGGTGTTCTGTCCCCCAGGCAGTTTTGGGGTGTGTTCTGTCCCCCAGGGCGCTCTGGGGTCCCCGGGCAGTTTCGGGGTGCCCGTACCTCGAGCAGCAGGCGGAACAGGGCCAGCGGGGGCGGGCGTGTGGCCTGCAGCAGCCTCCAGATGCTCTGGGCCTCGTCCAGCGTCACCTCCAGCAGGTCCCCCTCCATCATCAGCTCCTCCAGCGGCCGCCGCGTGGCCTCGGCCAGCTCCAGCACCGGGCCCTGCAGCCGCGGCAGCGCCGCGCTCAGCGCCTCCAGCTCTGCGGGGACATGGGGACATTCAGGGGACATCGTGGGGACACCACAGGAACACAGCGTGTCCCCATGGCCAGCTCCAGCACCAGGCCCTGCAGCCGCGGCAGCGTCACGCTCAGTGCCTCCAGCTCTGCGGGGACACGGGGACATCGTGGGGACATTGTGGGGACACTACAGGGACACAGGGAGTTCAGCCCCAGCAGTGCCACGCTCAGTGCCTCCAGCTCTGTGGGGACATGGGGACATGGTGGGGACATTGTGGGGACACTGTGTGTCCCTTCGGCCAGCTCCAGCACCGGGCCCTGCAGCCGCGGCAGCGCCGCGCTCAGCGCCTCCAGCTCTGCGGGGACATGGGGACATGGTGGGGACATTGTGGGGACACTGTGTGTCCCTTCGGCCAGCTCCAGCACCGGGCCCTGCAGCCGCGGCAGCGCCGCGCTCAGCGCCTCCAGCTCTGCGGGGACATGGGGACATGGTGGGGACATTGTGGGGACACTGTGTGTCCCTTCGGCCAGCTCCAGCACCGGGCCCTGCAGCCGCGGCAGCGCCGCACTCAGCGCCTCCAGCTCTGCAGGGATACCACGAGGACATGGGGACATCATGGGGACACCATGGGGACATTGTGGGGACACCACAGGGACATGGGGACACAGGTTCCAGCCCCAGCAGCTCCACACTCAGCGCCTCCAGCTCCTTGGGGACACCGTGGGGACACCACAGGGGCATGGGGACACAGGGAGTTCAGCCCCAGCAGCGCTGCGCTCAGCGCCTCCAGCTCTGCAGGGACATGGGGACATCGTGGGGACACCATGGGGACATTCAGGGGACATCGTGGGGACACCACAGGGACATGGGGACACAGGGAGTTCAGCCCCAGCAGCGCCGCACTCAGCGCCTCCAGCTCTGCGGGGACACCACAGGGACATGGGGACATGGTGGGGACATTGTGGGGACACGGTGTGTCCCCTTGGCCAGTTCCAGCACCGGGCCCTGCAGCCGCGTCAGTGCTGCGCTCAGCGCCTCCAGCTCTGCGGGGACATGGGGACATCGTGGGGACACCATGGGGACATTGTGGAGACATGGGGACACAGGAGTTTCCAGCCCCAGCAGCACCATGCTCAGTGCCTCCAGCTCTGCGGGGACATGGGGACATCATGCGGACACCACAGGGGTGTGGGAACATCGTGGGGACACCACAGGGACATGGGGACACAGGGACAGGTTGCACTCAGCACCTCCAGCTCTGTGGGGACACCGTGGGAACACCACAGGGACATGGGAACACCACAGGGACCCCCCAGCACCTGCTGAGCTCCGCAGGGGATCCCCCTGTCCCTCCCAGGGGAATCCCTCTGTCCCTCCCAGGGGATCCCATGTCCCCCTGTCCCTCCCAGGGTCTCCCTGTGTCCCCCTGTCCCTCCCAGGGGATCCTGTGTCCCCGTCCCTCCCGGTGGGATCTGCTGGACCCCGGTGGGTCCCCAGGCCCTGATCCCACTCACCCGAGGGCAGGGGCCCGTTCTTCTCCGGGCTGGGGGCGTCCCCGTTCTCCACCGACACCTGGGGGGGACAGAGGGAAGGTGTTCTGGGGGGGCTCAGCCTCCCCCAGCCCCAAAACCACCCCATAACCCCAAAACCTGCCCCACACCTCCCCAGTGCCCCCTAAACACTTCCACCTTGGTCTGCTCGTTGTGGTGGGCCTTGCACTGAGAACCATCACCCCAAAATCCCCATTGATCTCCCCAAAACCCCCAAAAATTCCCCCATTCTCAGCTTGGCCTTGCTTGCACAGGGGTCTGACACCCAAAGCCCCCCATAATCCTGCCCCCCAAAACCCCCCAGATCCCCACCTTGGTCTGCTCATTGTGGGTGGCCTTGAGCAGGGTCCCGACACCCCAAATTGCCTCCAGCTCTGCGGGGACATGGGGACATCATGCGGACACCACAGGGGTGTGGGAACATCGTGGGGACACCACAGGGACATGGGGACACAGGGACAGGTTGCACTCAGCACCTCCAGCTCTGTGGGGACACCGTGGGGACACCACAGAGACATGGGGACACCACAGGGACCCCCCAGCACCTGCTGAGCTCCGCAGGGGATCCCCCTGTCTCTCCCAGGGGATCCCTCTGTCCCTCCCAGGGTCTCCCCGTGTCCCTCTGTCCCTCCCAGGGGATCCCTCTGTCCCTCTCCAGGGTCTCCTCGTGTACCTCTGTCCCTCCCAGGGGATCCCTCTGTCCCTCCCAGGGTCTCCCCGTGTCCCTCTGTCCCTCCCCAGGGGATCCCGTGTCCCTCTGTCCCTCCCAGGGTCTCCCCGTGTCCCCCTGTCCCTCCCAGGGTCTCCTCGTGTCCCCCTGTCCCTCCCAGGGTCTCCTCGTGTCCCCCTGTCCCTCCCAGGGTCTCCCCGTGTCCCCCTGTCCCTCCCGGTGGGTCCCCAGGCCCTGATCCCACTCACCCGAGGGCAGGGGCCCGTTCTTCTCCGGGCTGGGGGCGTCCCCGTTCTCCACCGACACCTGGGGGGGACAGAGGGAAGGTGTTCTGGGGGGGCTCAGCCTCCCCCAGCCCCAAAACCACCCCATAACCCCAAAACCTGCCCCACACCTCCCCAGTGCCCCCTAAACACTTCCACCTTGGTCTGCTCGTTGTGGTGGGCCTTGCACTGAGAACCATCACCCCAAAATCCCCATTGATCTCCCCAAAACCCCCAAAAATTCCCCCATTCTCAGCTTGGCCTTGCTTGCACAGGGGTCTGACACCCAAAGCCCCCCATAATCCTGCCCCCCAAAACCCCCCAGATCCCCACCTTGGTCTGCTCATTGTGGGTGGCCTTGAGCAGGGTCCCGACACCCCAAATTCCCCCCAAACGCCCACCTTGGTCTGCTCGTTGCGGCTGGCCTCGCGCAGGGTCCTGACACCCCAAATTCCCCCCAAACCCCCACCTTGGTCTGCTCGTTGCGGCTGGCCTCGCGCAGGGCCCTGACACCCCAAATTCCCCCCAAACCCCCCCCTTGGTCTGCTCGTTGCGTCCCGACACCCCAAATTCCCCCCAAACCCCCACCTTGGTCTGCTCGTTGCGGCTGGCCTCGCGCAGGGCCCTGACACCCCAAATTGCCCCCAAACCCCTCCCAATTCCCCCCAAACCCCCACCTTGGTCTGCTCGTTGCGGCTGGCCTCGCGCAGGGTCCTGACACCCCAAATTCCCCCCAAACCCCCACCTTGGTCTGCTCGTTGCGGCTGGCCTCGCGCAGGGTCCTGACACCCCGAATTCCCCCCAAACCCCCACCTTGGTCTGCTCGTTGCGGCTGGCCTCGCGCAGGGCCCTGACACCCCAAATTGCCCCCAACCCCCTCCCAATTCCCCCCAAACCCCCACCTTGGTCTGCTCGTTGCGGCTGGCCTCGCGCAGGGCCCTGACACCCCAAATCTCCCCAAACCCCCCCCAATTCCCCCCAAACGCCCACCTTGGTCTGCTCGTTGCGGCTGGCCTCGCGCAGGGCGCCGTCGCTGTCCCCGTGCAGCCGGTGCCGCAGGGCCGCCAGGCGCTCCAGCGGCCCGGCCACCTCGGGGGACGCCAGGAGCTGGCGGGCACGGTCCTGCCAGGTGATGGCCCGCTCGGTGAGGCACTGCAGGGCCTCGCCCTCGGGCAACCGCACCGGCAGCTTCTGCAGGGCCACCAGCAGCGCCAGGATGGTCTCGAGGCGCGGCCGCCGCGAGCGCTGGCACAGCGGGCACAGGAACTTGGCGTCCCACTCCCACCAGGCTGGCGAGGGTTTCTGGGCGCCCAGGCGGGGCCAGGCCACGCAGGAGCCGTGGAACCAGTCCCGGCAGAGCTGGCACTGCAGCATGCCCGGCCCCGCAGGTTGCCCGCACACGCAGGATGGTGGCCCCGGGCCCGGCAGAGGCGGCGCGGCTTTCTGGGCGTTGGCGTGGCGGAGGCGCAGCATGCCCTCCTTCTCCTTCTGCTCGCCCTCCTTGAACGCCACGATCTGCGGGGGACACCGGGGGGTCAGAGGGGACAGGGACTGGGGGGTCACGGGGTGTGATCCCCACCCCAAACCCCTCAATGACAAAATCTGGGGAGGGGGAGAGCAAGGGGTGACAGGGGACAGGGACTGGGGGGTCACAGGGTGTGATCGCCACCCCAAACCCCTCAATGCCAAAATCTGGGGTGGGGGGGAGCAGGGGACAGGGATTGAGGGGGGTGACACCCCAAACCCCTGAATGCCATGATCTGGGGAAGTGTGGGCTGTGAGAGGTGACAGGGATTGGGGAAATGTGGGTGCCCCCCACCCCAAACCTTTGAACACCGAAATCTGGGGTGAGGGAGAGCAGGGGGTGAGAGGGGATAGGGATTGGGGGCGTCACAGGGTGTGACCCCCACCCCAAATCCCTGAATGCCATGATGTGGGAGACAGCAGGGGTGTGAGGTGACAGGGATTGGGGAAATGTGGGTGCCCTCCACCCCAAACCCCCCAAATTTAGGGAGAATAAGGAACACGAGCAGTGACAGGAATCGAGGTCGGACGCGGCGCCCCCCACCCCAAACACCCCAATCCCGGGGTGGGGACAGCAGGGACAGGGGCAGTGCCAGGCCTGGGGGTCCCGGGGTGCCCCCCACACCCCCCACTCCTCACCACAGCACCGGGGTCCCGCAGGTCCTGCGCTGACAGCCCCAAGCTCTCGGCGTCCAGCCGGTACAGCCCCGGCTCCTGCCGCCACTTGAGCCTCTTGCTGCTGTCCGAGCCGGCGTCAGCGCAGGGACACAGCACCTGGGGGACACCACGAGGGGGTCAGCGCCCTGCCAGACCCCACCCCACACCCCCCACAGACCCCCAGACCCACCTCGAGCAGGGTGTAGCAGGAGTTCTTCTTGAGGAAGGTGCGGGAGGCCTTGTCCCGCCAGGAGTGCGCGGTGCCCACCTGCACCTCGAGCTGCCGCAGCTCCTCCAGCCGCACGGGCAGGTCCCGGCCCACGGCCACCAGCCCCTCCAGGTCGTCCAGGCACGGGTAGTGGTCACCGTTCTGCGGGGACACGGCGTCAGCGGGGCGGCGTGGGGACGCGGGGACACGCGGGGACAGCAGCGCGGAGAGCGGGATGTGGGGGGACAGGGTGGGGACACGGTGGCGGGGACAGGGATGGGACAGGGATGGGACAGGATGGTGGCAGGGACATGGCAGAAACAGGGAGGGGACAAGATGGGGTCACGGTGACAGCAGGGACAGGGATGGGACAGGGAGGGGACAGGATGAGGTCAGGGTGGCAGCAGAGACAGGGATGGGACAGGGATGGGACAGGATGGTGGCAGGGACATGGCAGAAACGGAGGGGACAAGATGGGGTCATGGTGACAGCAGGGACAGGGATGGGACAGGGAGGGGACAGGATGAGGTCAGGGTGGCAGAGACAGGTATAGGACAGGATGGGGTCATGGTGGCAGCAGGGACAGGGATGGGAGAGGGACAGGATGGGACAGGGTGGGGTCATGGTGGCAGATGGGAGGTCCATGGGGACAGGAACACAGGGGTGTCCAGTGTCCATAGGGACAGGACAGGATGGGCCATGTCCAGTGTCCATGGGGACAGGATGGGGACACAGGGGTGTCCAGTGTCCATGGGGACAGGACAGGATGGGCAATGTCCAGTGTCCATGGGGACAGGATGGGGACACAGGGGTGTCCAGTGTCCATGGGGACAGGATGGGGACACACGGGTGTCCAGGATGGTGGCAGGGACATGGCAGAAACGGAGGGGACAAGATGGGGTCATGGTGACAGCAGGGACAGGGATGGGACAGGGAGGGGACAGGATGAGGTCAGGGTGGCAGAGACAGGTATAGGACAGGATGGGGTCATGGTGGCAGCAGGGACAGGGATGGGAGAGGGACAGGATGGGACAGGGTGGGGTCATGGTGGCAGATGGGAGGTCCATGGGGACAGGAACACAGGGGTGTCCAGTGTCCATAGGGACAGGACAGGATGGGCCATGTCCAGTGTCCATGGGGACAGGATGGGGACACAGGGGTGTCCAGTGTCCATGGGGACAGGATGGGGACACACGGGTGTCCAGTGTCCACGGGGACAGGACAAGGACACGAGGGTGCCCAGGGGACAGCGCAGGCCCTCGGGGCTGTGCAGTGAGGGCTCCCAGGGGGTCCCACCTGGATCTCCTCGACGTCGGCGATCCAGGCGCGGGCCTTGCCCAGGGCCTCCTTCAGGGCCTGGATGTTGGGCAGCAGCGCCGGGATGTTCTCGGCCTCCTTGATGATGGCAGCCAGCGTGGCTGGGGGGTGCTTCTGCCTGCGGGGGGGTCAGAGCCAGGGACCCCCGAGCTCCCTGGGACCCCCAGAGCTCCCTGGGACCCCAGAGATGCCCCTGACACCCCCAGAGATCCCCCTGAGACCCCCAGAGCTGGGGCAGGAACCTCTGAGGAGCGGTCAAACCCCAAAGCTTCACCCCCCTCCCCACTGAGTCACCCCCAGCCCCTTTATGGCCTCCTGGGCACACGGGGAGAAGCCCCCAGCCCCTTTATTTCCTGCACAGACATATGAGGGGCAGCCCCCAGCCCCTTTATCCCCAGCCAGGGGACACAGGGCTCAGCCCCAGCCCCTTGAAAGTCATGTGCTGGAGCCCCCAGACCCTTTCTGTCCCCCCAAAGCCATGAGGGGCAGCCCCCAGACCCTTTATATCCCCACCCAGGAAACACAGGGCACAGCCCCATCCCCCTCTCAGGTGCAGCCCCCAGCCCCCATCTCCCCCCAGGGAGGGGTCCAACTGCCCATCTCCCCCTCAGGAGGGGTCCATCCCCCCACATCCCCTTGGGGAGGGGTCCATCCCCCCACCTCCCCTCTGGGAGGGGTCCATCCCCCCACCTCCCCTCAGGGAGGGGCCCATTCCCCCACCTCCCCTCGGGGAGGTGTCCATCCCCCCACATCCCCTCTCAGGAGGGGTCCATCCCCCCCCCTCCCCCCGGGGTGGGGTCCATCCCCCCACATCCCCCTGGGGAGGGGTCCAACTGCCCATCTCCCCCTCAGGAGGGGTCCATCCCCCCCACCTCCCCCCGGGGAGGGGTCCATCCCCCCACATCCCCCTGGGGAGGGGTCCAACTGCCCATCTCCCCCTCAGGAGGGGTCCATCCCCCCACATCCCCTTGGGGAGGGGTCCATCCCCCCACCTCCCCCCGGGGAGGGGTCCATCCCCCCACCTCCCCTCAGGGAGGGGCCCATTCCCCCACCTCCCCTCGGGGAGGTGTCCATACCCCCACATCCCCTCTCAGGAGGGGTCCATCCCCCCACCTCCCCCCGGGGAGGGGTCCATCCCCCCACATCCCCCTGGGGAGGGGTCCAACTGCCCATCTCCCCCTCAGGAGGGGTCCATCCCCCCACCTCCCCCCGGGGAGGGGTCCCTGTCCCTGACCTGGCCTCAAGGCACATCTGAGCCTTCTCCTCCCAGCGCTGGGCGATGGTCAGCAGCTCCTGCAGCTCGGCCATGGCCACGTCCACGGCGGGGCTGGGGGCCACGGTGCGGCCGGCCTGGATGAGGCCGCGCATGACGGGCAGGGGGACGCGGGCCCGCGGGGACCTCAGCGTGGCCGTCACCTCCTCCAGCCACGCGGCCTGGGCCAGCTGCCGCTCCAGCCGCCGGCCCTCGGGCACCTCCACGCCCAGGCGGGACCCCCGCTCCAGCAGCTCCTGCAGAGCCCCCGGGCCCGGGGGGGGCACGGCCAGCGCCGCCCGCGCCTCCGCCTGGAACGCTTCCACCCGCTCCAGGAGAGCCTGGGGGGGACACGGCGTCAGCCACGGGCAGGGGACAGCGTGGGACAGCCCTGGGACAGCCCTGGGACACTTCAGGGACAGTGCTGGGATACTGTGGGACAGCCTGGGACACCCCTGGGACACTGTGTGACATCCTGGGACACTCCTGGGACACTGTGGGACACTGCAGGCACAGTGCTGGGATACTATGTGACAGCCTGGGACATCGTGGGACAGCCTAGAACACACCTGGGACACTGTGTGACACTGCAAGGACAGTGCTGGGATACTGTGGGACAGCCTGGGACACCCCTGGGACACTGTGTGACACCCTGGGACACTCCTGAGACACTGTGTGACACTGCAGGGACAGTACTGGGATACTATGTGACACTCTTGGGACACTGTGTGACACCCCTAAGACACCCCTGGGACACTGTGTGACACCCCTGGGACACCAGAGCCCCCAGCCCCTTTGACACCTTGTGACACCCCTGGACACTGTGTGACCCCAAGGGACACCGTGTGACACTGAGGGACAGTCTGTGACACCCCTGGGACACTGTGTGACACCCCCAGGACACCGTGTAACAGCGTGTGACAGCATGCAACACCGTGTGACACCGTGTGACAGCGTGTGACACCGTGTGACACCGTGTGACAGTGTGTGGCATGTGTGACACCGTGTAACACCGTGTGACACTGTGTGACAGTGTGTGACAGCGTGTGACATGTGTGACACCGTGTGACACTGAGGGACACTGTGTGACACTGTGTGACAGTGTGTGACACCGTGTGACACCATGTGACACCGTGTAGCATGTGTGACACCGTGTGACACCGTGTGACACGGTGTGGCAGCGCGTGGCCCCGCTGTCCCACCTGCACGTCCCCGATCTGGTGCATGACGCAGGGCAGTTGGTTCATCTGCTCCAGGAACGCCCGCAGCTCCTCCACCGTCAGCGCCGGCGCGGGGACCCTGCGGGGACAGCCACACTCTGGGACAGGGACACGGAGGGGACAGCCACACTGTGGGACAGGGACACGGAGGGGACAGCCACACTCTGGGACGGGGACCCTGCGGGGACAGCCACACTCTGGGGACAGGGACGGGCCCCTGCGGGGACAGCCACACTCTGGGACGGGGACACTCTAGGGACATGGAGGGGACAGTGACACTGCTGGGACATGGAGGGGACAGCGACACTCTGGGGACAGGGACGGGACCCTGCAGGGACAGCAACACTCTGGGATGGGGACATGGAGGGGACAGCCACACTCTGGGACAGGGAGGAGACAGCCACACTCTGGGACGGGGACATGGAGGGGACAGCCACACTCTGGGACACTCTGGGGACAGCGACACTCTGGGACAGGGACATGGAGGGGACAGCCACACTCTGGGGACAGGGACACAGAGGGAACAGGGATGGGACCCTGCGGGGACAGCGACACTCTGGGACAGGGACATGGAGGGGACAGCCACCCTCTAGGGACAGGGACACTCTGGGGACAGGGACACAGAGGGAACAGGGATGGGACCCTGCGGGGACAGCGACACTCTGGGACACGGAGGGGACAGGGACACTCTGGGGACAGGGACACTCTGTGGACATGGAGAGGACAGGGACACTCTGGGACACGGAGGGGACAGGGACACTCTGGGGACAGGGACATTCTGGGGACATGGAGGAGACAGCAACATGGAGGGGACAGAGAGGGGACGGGGATGCTGTGGGGACACGGAGGGGACACTGGTGGGACAGGGACACTCTGGGGACAGGGAAAGGAGCCTGTGGGGACAGGGACACTGCTGGGGACACAGACAGGACAGGGAGAGGATGGGGACCCTGCGGGGACAGTGACACTGTGGGGACATGCAGGGGACAGGGGCACTGTGGGGACAGAGGAAAAAGGAGGGGACAGCAGGCACTGCAGGGACATGGGGACAGGGAGGGGATGGGGACCCTGCAGGGACAGGGAGGGGACAGGGATGGGATGGGGACAAGGGGACAGATGGGAAGTCTAAAGGGAACAGAATGGGGACATGGAGGTGTCCGGTGTCCATAGGGACAGGACAGGGACACAGAGGACAGGACAGGGACATAGGAGTGTCCAGGACAGGGACACAGCAGTGTTCAGGATACAGAGGGGAAAGGACAGGGACACAGGGGACAGGACAAGGACACAGGGGACAGGACAGGGACACAGCAGTGTTCAGGATACAGAGGGGAAAGGACAGGGACACAGGGGACAGGACAAGGACACAGGGGACAGGACAGGGACACAGCAGTGTCCAGGACCCACAGAGGACAGGAGAGGGACACAGGTGACAGCACAGGGACACAGGGGATAGGACAGGGACACAGCAGTGTTCAGGATACAGAGGGGAAAGGACAGGGACACAGGGGATAGGACAGGGACACAGAAGTGTCCAGAGTCCACAGAGAACAGGACAGGGACACAGGAGTGTCCAACATCCATAGGGGACAGGACAGGGACACAGGAGTGTCCAACATCCATAGGGGACAGGACAGGGACACAGGCGTGTCCAGGACACCCAAGGGGACAGGACAGAGACAGAGGGGATGGGACAGGGACACAGCAGTGTCCAGGACGGGGACAGAGCAGTGTCCAGGACCCACAGGGGACAGGACAGGGACACAGGTGACAGCACAGGAACACACAGAAGCACAACAGAGCCAGCAAACCGCGTACGCCGACACTCGGGCTGAACACGCAGCGAGAGCGAGCCGTGACGGTGACCCTGCCCTGCTGGGGACACTCAGGGGACAGCTGGGGACAGCTGGGGACACTCACCCGGTCTCCTGGGAGCTGATGAGCCCCAGGGCCTCGGACACGCAGCGCTCGGCCTGGCCCAGGCAGCCCTTGAGGCGGTGCAGCAGCTCGTTCTCGGGGAACTTGCGCTCCCGCGCCTCCGACTCCAGCGCCCGCAGCTCCTCCAGCGCTGGCCGGGCACAGCCGGGGGGTCAGCGCTGAGCTCTGAGCCCCCAAAATCCCCTTCAGAGCCCCCCAGAAATCCCCCCCGAGACCCCCACTCACTGCGCTTGCGGCCGTCCTCCACCTCGAGGGCGATGCGCACCTTGTTGGCCCAGGTGTCGAAGGACTCGGCGCGCACCTTGAGCTTGTGCAGCATGGCCGGCAGCTCGTCCAGGGTGTAGCGGTACCTGGGGGGCACTGGGGGTCACCGCGAGCCCCCCCGCGCACCCCAAAAGGCAGAAACAGGACCCCCAGACTGAGCTGATGGGGTATGGGGTGGGTTGTTGTGGGGAGGTGCCCCAAATTGGCAGAGGAGACACCGGGTCGTGGTTGTGTCCCCTGCCCTGTCCCAGGGACACCCCGAGATCTTCAGCACCCCCAAAGTCACAGCCAGGGTCACAGCAGGACCCAGAGCCCCCCCAGATTAACCCCATGTGTGTCCTCAGGGGCACCAACAGCCCAAAACCCACCCCAAATCTTACAGACACCCCCCCAAACCACTCCTAAGTCCCCCCAAGGGCACATCCAGGTCCCCAGCCCCCCCAAACCCCTCTCCAAACCCCATTCAAACCCCATTCAAAGCCCCCTAAACCCTATTCAAACCCCCCAAAACCCCCCAGAGCCCCCAGCCCCCCCACCTGAGGTACTGCTTGCTGCGGGGGCACTTGCAGAGGTCGTCCATGTGGTAGAGGCAGACGAGGCCCTGGGGACAGTCGTAGCAGGCCAGGGCTGACAGGAAACACGTGGTCTTGCACTTGTCACACTGCCGCTCGTCGTCGGGCAGCAGCTCGAAGGCCTCGCGCTCCGCCTCCGTGATGCCCTGGGGGGCAAAGAAATGGGCATCAGACCCCCCTGCCGTGCAGATTTTGGGGTGTTCTCAGCAGGTCCTGTCACTCCATGATGCCCTAAGCAGGATAAAAATTCTGTCAGATCCCCCCCTGCATTCCTGCTCTGCCTCCACGATGCACTGCGGGGGCAAAAAAACCAACATCAGACCCTTCCATGGAGATTTTGGGGTGTTTTCAGCACTTCCAACCCCTTCATGATGCCTTGAGAGGGATAAAAATCCCCCCTGCAGCTCCAACCCTTCCTGCTCTGCCTCCATGATGCCTTAGGGGGCAAAAAAACCCAACATTAGACCCCCGCCCCGTGGAGATTTTGGGGTGTTTTCAGCACCTCCAATCCCTTCATGATACCCTGAGAGGGATAAAAATTCTGTCAGATCTCCCCTTCATTTCTGCTCTGCCTCTGTGATGCCCTGGGGGGGCAAAAAAATGGGCATCAGACCCGCCCCCCCGTGCACATTTTGGGGTGTTCTCAGCAGGTCCAGTCACTCCGTGATGCCCTAAGCAGGATAAAAATTCTGTCAGATCCCCCCCTGCATTCCTGTTCTGCCTCTGTCATGCCCTAGGGGGGGCAAAATAATGGGCATCGGATGCCCCTGTGGAGATTTTGGGGTGTTTTCAGCACTTCCAACCCCTTCATGATGCCTTGAGAGGGATAAAAATTCTGTCAGATCTCCCCTTCATTTCTGCTCTGCCTCTGTGATGCCCTGGGGGGGCAAAATAATGGGCATCGGACGCCCCCTGGAGATTTTGGGGTGTTTTCAGCACTTCCAACCCCTTCATGATGCCTTGAGAGGGATAAAAATTCTGTCAGATCCCCCCCTGCATTCCTGTTCTGCCTCTGTCATGCCCTAGGGGGGGCAAAATAATGGGCATCGGATGCCCCTGTGGAGATTTTGGGGTGTTTTCAGCACTTCCAACCCCTTCATGATGCCTGAGAGGGATAAAATCCCCCCTGCAGCTCCAATCCTTCCTTCTCTGCCTCCATGATACCTTGGGGGGCAAAAAAACCAACATTAGACCCCCCCCCGTGGAGATTTTGGGGTGTTTTCAGCACCTCCAATCCCTTCATGATACCCTGAGAGGGATAAAAATTCTGTCAGATCTCCCCTTCATTTCTGCTCTGCCTCTGTGATGCCCTGGGGGGGCAAAATAATGGGCATCGGACGCCCCCTGGAGATTTTGGGGTGTTTTCAGCACTTCCAACCCCTTCATGATGCCTTGAGAGGGATAAAAATTCTGTCAGATCCCCCCCTGCATTCCTGCTCTGCCTCCGTGATGTCCTTGGGGGGGGCAAAAAAACCAACATCAGACCCCCCCATGGAGATTTTGGGGTGTTCTCAGCACTCTCAATCCCTCTATGATCTCCTGACTGGAATAACAATTCTGTCACATCCCCCCTGCATTCCTGCTCTGCCTCTGGGATGTCCTGGGGGGGCAAAACAGACATCAAACCCCCCCCCATGGAGATTTTGGGGTGCCCCTAACATCCCCCAGTACCCCCATAGCCCCCTAAATGGGGCACAAACACAACCCACACCCCTCCCCACAACTTTTGGGGTACCCCCAGCACCCCTTAACCCCTCTGTGACCTCCCATGGGAGCACAGGGGAGTTTTTGGGGTGCCCCAACCCCTCCATCACCCCCTGAAGGAGACACAAACACAACCCTCACCCCTCCCCAGAGTTTTTGGGGTGCCCCAACTCCTCCATCACCCCCTGAAGGAGACACAAACACAACTGTCACCGCCTTCCCCAGAGCTTTTGGGGTACCCCCAGCACCCCTTAACCCCTCTGTGACCTCCCATGGGAGCACAGGGGAGCTTTTGGGGTGCCCCAACCCCCCCCATAACCCCCTGAAGGTGGCACAAACACAACCCTCACCCCTCCCCAGAGCTTTTGGGGTGCCCCAACCCCTCCCTCACCCCCTGAAGTTGACACAACCACCCCCCCTTTCATCTCCCCGGCCCCCTCCCCACGCCTCCACCTTTCGGGTCGCCCCCCACCCCCCAAATTTTCGGGGTGCCCCACCTTCTCCAGCAGGGCCTTGCGCAGCTTGCGCTCCTCCTGCACGAGCACGAACATCTCCTTGTGCACGGCGGCCGCCAGGTTCAGGTCCAGCTTCTCGGGGCTCGCTGCCATCTTGCAGATCAGCTCCTCGTGCGAGAAGACGCAGTAACGGCGCAGGCGGCGGTAGTGCTCGATGCACTGCCTGCCTGCGGGGAGCTGCAGGGGAAACGGGGGGTCAGGGGGGTCCCCAAAACCTGGGGAGACCCCTAAACACAGCCCTGAGCCTGGCTGGGCTGAGCCCACAAAGCTGGGAATCCCCCTGTGCCCCTGAACTGGGCAGTGCTCGATGCACTGCCTGCCTGCGGGGAGCTGAAAGGAAAATGGGGGGTCCCCAAAACCTGGGGGGACCCCTAAACACAGCCTCCAACCTAGTGGGGTACCCCCAGTGCTGAGCCCCCAAAGCTGGGATATCTCTGTGTGCCCCTGAACTGGGCAGTGCTCGATGCACTGCCTGCCTGCGGGGAGCTGAAAGGAAAATGAAGAGTCCCCAAAACCTGGGAGACCCCCTGCACCCCCTAAACAGAGTCCTGAACCTGGCTGGGTCCCTCCAGTGCTGAGCCCCCAAAGCTGGGAGCCCCCCTGTGTGCCCCTGAACTGGGCAGTGCTCGATGCACTGCCTGCCTCCGGGTAGCTGCAGGGATTGGGGGGGTCAGGGGGGTCCCCAAAATCTGGGGGGACCCCTAAACACAGCCCTGAACCCAGCTGGACTGAGCCCCCAAAGCTGAGAAACCCCCTGTGCCCCTGGCCTGAGCTGGGCACCCCCAAACCTGAGATAGCCCTGTGCCCCGGAACTGGGCAGTGCTCGATGCACTGCCTGCCTGCGGGGAGCTGCAGGGGAAACGGGGGGTCAGGGGGGTCCCCAAAACCTGGGAGACCCCCTGCACCCCCTAAACACAGCCCTGAACCCGGCTGGGTCCCTCCAGTGCTGAGCCTCCAAAGCTGGGAGCCCCCCTGTGTGCCCCTGAACTGGGTAGTGCTCGATGCACTGCCTGACTGCGGGGAGCTGCAGGGATTGGGGGGGGTCAGGGGGGTCCCCAAAATCTGGGGGGACCCCTAAACACAGCCCTGAGCCTGGCTGGGCTGAACCCCCAAAGCTGAGAAACCCCCTGTGCCCCTGGCCTGAGCTGGACACCCCCAAACCTGAGATAGCCCTGTGCCCCTGAACTGGGCAGTGCTCGATGCACTGCCTGCCTGCGGGGAGCTGCAGGGACTGGGGGGGTCAGGGGGGTCCCCAAAACCTGGGGGGACCCCTAAACACAGCCCTGAACCCAGCTGGACTGAGCCCCCAAAGCTGGGAACCCCCCTGTGCCCCTGGCCTGAGCTGGGCACCTGATAATGCTCCCTGCACTGCCTGCCTGTGGGGACCTGCATGGGGGTCAGGGGGGCTCCCCAAAATCGGGGGGACCCCCAAACACAGCTTTAAACAGATCTGGGCACCCCCAAAACCTGGGGAACCCCCCCATACCCCTGAACTGGGCAGTGCTTTAACACTGCCTGCCTGTGGGGAGCTGCACGGGGGTCAGGGGGCTCCCCAAAAACGGGGGACAGATATTCTGTGCCCCCCCCAAGGTATATTTTCTGCCCCCCCCCCAGGTATTTTCTGTGCCCCTCCAAACACATTTTGTGCCCCCCAGAATTTTGGCTTCTCTTCTTTTTCTTCCTTTCTCCACCCACAAATTTCACTGTTTCCCTGTAAAGTTTTCTTTACACTCACCCAATTTTTTTACTGATTCCCCCAGATATTCTGTGCCCCCCCCCAGGTATCTTTATGCCCCCCAGGTACTTCCTGTGCCCCTCTAAACACATTTTTTGTGCCTCCCAGAATTTTGGCTTCCCCTTTTCTTTAACACCCTCCACCCACAAATCTCCCTGTATCCCTCCTTGTGCTTCCCCAGTTTTTTTGTTGATTCCCCTAGGTATTTTTCTTTCCCCCCAGGTATATTTTCTGCCCCTCCAGGTATATTTTTCTGCCCGTTTTTCTGTGATTCCCCCAGGTATTTTTCTGCCCCCCCCAGGTATTTTTCTGCCCCCCAAGGTACAGTTTCTACCCCCTCAGGTACCTTCTGTGCCTCTCCAAGCACATTTTGTGCCCCACTCAATTCTGGCTTCTCCTTTCTGATTCCCCTAGGTATTTTTCTTTCCCCCCAGGTATATTTTCTGCCCCTCCAGGTATATTTTTCTGCCCCCCCAGGTACTTTCTGTGCCCTTCCAAGCACATTTTGTGCCCTTCAGAATTTTAGGTTCTCCTTTTCTCTATCACCCTCCACCCGCGAATTCCGCAGTTTCCCTCGTTGCGCTCCCCGAGTTTTTCTGTGATTCCCCCAGGTATTTTTCTGCCCCCCCCAGGTATTTTTCTGCCCCCCAAGGTACAGTTTCTACCCCCTCAGGTACCTTCTGTGCCTCTCCAAGCACATTTTGTGCCCCACTCAATTCTGGCTTCTCCTTTCCTTTTTCTTCCTTTCTCCACCCACAAATTTCGCTATTTTCCTGTGAAGTTTTCTTTGCCCTCCCTCAGTTTTTTTTGTTGATTCCCCCAGACATTCTGTGCCCCCCCAGGCATATCTTCTGCCCCCCCCAGGTATTCTGTGCCACTCCAAGCACATTTTTAGAATCTCTCACAGAATTTTAGGTTCTCCTTTTCTCTATCACCCTCCACCCGCGAATTCCGCAGTTTCCCTCGTTGCGCTCCCCGAGTTTTTCTGTGATTCCCCCAGGTATTTTCCTGCCCCCCCAGGTATTTTTCTGCCCCCCCCCTGGGATATTTTGGAGCCCCCCGAGCTCACCCAGTCGGCCGTGCAGAAGTTGACAGCCTCAGCAAAGTTGTAGCCCTGGTTGAAGCCGCTGTGGTAGGCGCGGGGGAAGGTGATGACGAACTCGCCGGCGCATTGGTTGGTCCGGACCACCTGGGGACACACCTGGGCTCACACCCGACCTCAGCAGGGTGTGACAGGGCCGGGGGGGGTTTGGGGACACCCCCAACTCACGGGGACGCCGTGGGCCATCAGGGTGTTGGGGTTCATGAGGGTGACGAGCTGGTGCAGGAGGTCGGGCTGGCTCTCGAACAGCTCCGGCGTCAGCTTCTTCATCACCTCCTCCAGGTGCTCGGCCGCGAACGACGGGACCCCGTACCACGTCTTGGGCTCGCCCCTGGGGATGGGCACCCCAAAAACCTCCGGATTCCATCCTAAAAACGTCCTGATCCCCCCCCAAAAACATCCTCATCCCACCCCGTACCACGTCTTGGGCTCACCCCTGGGGACGGGGCACCCCAAAAACCTCCGGATTCCATCCTAAAAACGTCCTGATCCCCCCCCAAAAACATCCTCATCCCACCCCGTACCACGTCTTGGGCTCACCCCTGGGGACGGGGCACCCCAAAAACCTCCGGATTCCATCCTAAAAACGTCCTGATCCCCCCCCAAAAACATCCTCATCCCACCCCGTACCACGTCTTGGGCTCACCCCTGGGGACGGGGCACCCCAAAAACCTCCGGATTCCATCCTAAAAACGTCCTGATCCCCCCCCAAAAACATCCTCATCCCACCCCATACCACATCTTGGGCTCACCCCTGGGGACGGGGCACCCCAAAAACCTCCTGATCCCATCCTAAAAACCTCCTGATCCCCCCTCAAAAACATCCTCATCCCACCCTGTACCACGTCTTGGGCTCGCCCCTGGGGATGGGCACCCCAAAAACCTCCTGATTCCATCCTAAAAACCTCCTGATTCCATCCTAAAAACCTCCTGATTCCATCCTAAAAACCTCCTGATTCCATCCTAAAAACCTCCTGATTCCATCCTAAAAACCTCCTGATTCCATCCTAAAAACCTCCTGATTCCATCCTAAAAACCTCCTGATTCCATCCTAAAAACCTCCTGATTCCATCCTAAAAACCTCCTGATTCCATCCTAAAAACCTCCTGATTCCATCCTAAAAACCTCCTGATTCCATCCTAAAAACCTCCTGATTCCATCCTAAAAACCTCCTGATTCCATCCTAAAAACCTCCTGATTCCATCCTAAAAACCTCCTGATTCCATCCTAAAAACCTCCTGATTCCATCCTAAAAACCTCCTGATTCCATCCTAAAAACCTCCTGATTCCATCCTAAAAACCTCCTGATTCCATCCTAAAAACCTCCTGATTCCATCCTAAAAACCTCCTGATTCCATCCTAAAAACCTCCTGATTCCATCCTAAAAACCTCCTGATTCCATCCTAAAAACCTCCTGATTCCATCCTAAAAACCTCCTGATTCCATCCTAAAAACCTCCTGATTCCATCCTAAAAACCTCCTGATTCCATCCTAAAAACCTCCTGATTCCATCCTAAAAACCTCCTGATTCCATCCTAAAAACCTCCTGATTCCATCCTAAAAACCTCCTGATTCCATCCTAAAAACCTCCTGATTCCATCCTAAAAACCTCCTGATTCCATCCTAAAAACCTCCTGATTCCATCCTAAAAACCTCCTGATTCCATCCTAAAAACCTCCTGATTCCATCCTAAAAACCTCCTGATTCCATCCTAAAAACCTCCTGATTCCATCCTAAAAACCTCCTGATTCCATCCTAAAAACCTCCTGATTCCATCCTAAAAACCTCCTGATTCCATCCTAAAAACCTCCTGATTCCATCCTAAAAACCTCCTGATTCCATCCTAAAAACCTCCTGATTCCATCCTAAAAACCTCCTGATTCCATCCTAAAAACCTCCTGATTCCATCCTAAAAACCTCCTGATTCCATCCTAAAAACCTCCTGATTCCATCCTAAAAACCTCCTGATTCCATCCTAAAAACCTCCTGATTCCATCCTAAAAACCTCCTGATTCCATCCTAAAAACCTCCTGATTCCATCCTAAAAACCTCCTGATTCCATCCTAAAAACCTCCTGATTCCATCCTAAAAACCTCCTGATTCCATCCTAAAAACCTCCTGATTCCATCCTAAAAACCTCCTGATTCCATCCTAAAAACCTCCTGATTCCATCCTAAAAACCTCCTGATTCCATCCTAAAAACCTCCTGATTCCATCCTAAAAACCTCCTGATTCCATCCTAAAAACCTCCTGATTCCATCCTAAAAACCTCCTGATTCCATCCTAAAAACCTCCTGATTCCATCCTAAAAACCTCCTGATTCCATCCTAAAAACCTCCTGATTCCATCCTAAAAACCTCCTGATTCCATCCTAAAAACCTCCTGATTCCATCCTAAAAACCTCCTGATTCCATCCTAAAAACCTCCTGATTCCATCCTAAAAACCTCCTGATTCCATCCTAAAAACCTCCTGATTCCATCCTAAAAACCTCCTGATTCCATCCTAAAAACCTCCTGATTCCATCCTAAAAACCTCCTGATTCCATCCTAAAAACCTCCTGATTCCATCCTAAAAACCTCCTGATTCCATCCTAAAAACCTCCTGATTCCATCCTAAAAACCTCCTGATTCCATCCTAAAAACCTCCTGATTCCATCCTAAAAACCTCCTGATTCCATCCTAAAAACCTCCTGATTCCATCCTAAAAACCTCCTGATTCCATCCTAAAAACCTCCTGATTCCATCCTAAAAACCTCCTGATTCCATCCTAAAAACCTCCTGATTCCATCCTAAAAACCTCCTGATTCCATCCTAAAAACCTCCTGATTCCATCCTAAAAACCTCCTGATTCCATCCTAAAAACCTCCTGATTCCATCCTAAAAACCTCCTGATTCCATCCTAAAAACCTCCTGATTCCATCCTAAAAACCTCCTGATTCCATCCTAAAAACCTCCTGATTCCATCCTAAAAACCTCCTGATTCCATCCTAAAAACCTCCTGATTCCATCCTAAAAACCTCCTGATTCCATCCTAAAAACCTCCTGATTCCATCCTAAAAACCTCCTGATTCCATCCTAAAAACCTCCTGATTCCATCCTAAAAACCTCCTGATTCCATCCTAAAAACCTCCTGATTCCATCCTAAAAACCTCCTGATTCCATCCTAAAAACCTCCTGATTCCATCCTAAAAACCTCCTGATTCCATCCTAAAAACCTCCTGATTCCATCCTAAAAACCTCCTGATTCCATCCTAAAAACCTCCTGATTCCATCCTAAAAACCTCCTGATTCCATCCTAAAAACCTCCTGATTCCATCCTAAAAACCTCCTGATTCCATCCTAAAAACCTCCTGATTCCATCCTAAAAACCTCCTGATTCCATCCTAAAAACCTCCTGATTCCATCCTAAAAACCTCCTGATTCCATCCTAAAAACCTCCTGATTCCATCCTAAAAACCTCCTGATTCCATCCTAAAAACCTCCTGATTCCATCCTAAAAACCTCCTGATTCCATCCTAAAAACCTCCTGATTCCATCCTAAAAACCTCCTGATTCCATCCTAAAAACCTCCTGATTCCATCCTAAAAACCTCCTGATTCCATCCTAAAAACCTCCTGATTCCATCCTAAAAACCTCCTGATTCCATCCTAAAAACCTCCTGATTCCATCCTAAAAACCTCCTGATTCCATCCTAAAAACCTCCTGATTCCATCCTAAAAACCTCCTGATTCCATCCTAAAAACCTCCTGATTCCATCCTAAAAACCTCCTGATTCCATCCTAAAAACCTCCTGATTCCATCCTAAAAACCTCCTGATTCCATCCTAAAAACCTCCTGATTCCATCCTAAAAACCTCCTGATTCCATCCTAAAAACCTCCTGATTCCATCCTAAAAACCTCCTGATTCCATCCTAAAAACCTCCTGATTCCATCCTAAAAACCTCCTGATTCCATCCTAAAAACCTCCTGATTCCATCCTAAAAACCTCCTGATTCCATCCTAAAAACCTCCTGATTCCATCCTAAAAACCTCCTGATTCCATCCTAAAAACCTCCTGATTCCATCCTAAAAACCTCCTGATTCCATCCTAAAAACCTCCTGATTCCATCCTAAAAACCTCCTGATTCCATCCTAAAAACCTCCTGATTCCATCCTAAAAACCTCCTGATTCCATCCTAAAAACCTCCTGATTCCATCCTAAAAACCTCCTGATTCCATCCTAAAAACCTCCTGATTCCATCCTAAAAACCTCCTGATTCCATCCTAAAAACCTCCTGATTCCATCCTAAAAACCTCCTGATTCCATCCTAAAAACCTCCTGATTCCATCCTAAAAACCTCCTGATTCCATCCTAAAAACCTCCTGATTCCATCCTAAAAACCTCCTGATTCCATCCTAAAAACCTCCTGATTCCATCCTAAAAACCTCCTGATTCCATCCTAAAAACCTCCTGATTCCATCCTAAAAACCTCCTGATTCCATCCTAAAAACCTCCTGATTCCATCCTAAAAACCTCCTGATCCCACCCCAAAAACATCCTCATCCCACCCCATACCACATCTTGGGCTCACCCCTGGGGACGGGGCACCCCAAAAACCTCCTGATCCCATCCTAAAAACCTCCTGATCCCCCCTCAAAAACATCCTCATCCCACCCTGTACCACGTCTTGGGCTCGCCCCTGGGAATGGACACCCCAAAAACCTCCTGATCCCATCCTAAAAACCTCCTGATCCCCCCTCAAAAACATCCTCATCCCACCCTGTACCACGTCTTGGGCTCGCCCCTGGGAATGGACACCCCAAAAACCTCCTGATTCCATCCTAAAAACCTCCTGATCCCATCCTGTACCACCCCAGAAACATCCTCATCCCACCCTAAAAACCTTCTCATCCCACCCCGTAACATGTCTTGGGCTCGCCTCTGAGGATGGACACCCCGAAAACCTCTTTATTCCATCCTAAAAACCTCCTGATCCCACCCAAAAACATCCTCATCCCACCCCGTACCACGTCTTGGGCTCGCCCCTGGGGACGGGGCACCCCAAAAACCTCCGTATTTCCATCCCAAAAATCTCCTGATCACACCCCAAAAACCTCCTGACCACATCCCAAAAACCTCCTGATCCCACCCCAAAACATCCTCATCCCACCCCGTACCACGTCTTGGGTTCGCCCCTGGGGAGCCCAAAACTCTCCTGATTCCATTCTAAAATCCTCCTGATCCCACCCTGCACCGCCCCAAAAACCTCCTGACATTTCACCACCACCGTGGGGGGGCACTCGGGGCCGTCCTTGTCTGTGGGGAGGGGGAAACGGGGGTTACAGGGGGGCTGGGGGGTGCTGGAGCGTTGGGGGGTAACAGAACAACTGGGGGGTGCTGAACTGTTGGGGGGTACTGGGAGATTGGGGGGTGCTGAGCTATTGGGGGGTACTGAGAGATTGGAGGGGTTACTGAGCAATTGGGAGGTAACAGAAAAATTAGGGGTTACTGAGAGATTGGAGGGGTTACTGAGCAATTGGGAGGTAACAGAAAAATTAGGGGTTACTGAGAGATTGGAGGGGTTACTGAGCAATTGGGAGGTAACAGAACAATTGGGGGTTACTGAGAGATTAGGGGCTTCTGAACTATTGGGGATTACAGGGAGGCTGGGGGGTGCTGGAGCATTGGGGTGTTACTGGGAGGTTGGGGGGTGCTGAATCATGGTGGGGTACCTGGAGATTGAGGGGCTACAGAATTATTTGGAGTTACTGGGAGATTGGGGGATGCTTGGGGAGGGTTACTGGGAGATTGGAGGGTAACAGAACAATTTGGGTTATCGAGCAATTAGAAAGTGCTGACCCTTTGGGGGGGTTATTAAACCATTAGGGGGTTACTGAGAGATTGAGGGGTGCTGAATCTTTGGGGGGTTACAGAACCATTGTGGGGTGCTGAA